CTACTCTATGCAAGCTGCTAGAAAGGACCAAACTGTAGGGAGAAGTTAATAGCTTGCATCCGTTAAAATTGTCCCCAAATACATTAAAGGTGCAGTAACAGGGCAGTTCTGTGAAGAATAATTAGCATTGTTGTGATATTTATGTAAGTTATGTAAATCGCATTTTAAGCAAAAATTCCATTTGATGTGAAATGCAGTAATTGACCAAAATATACTTTTTGTTTTGCTAAATTATTAAAATGCACATTAAATTCCCACTCCATATGTTCACTTTACAGTTAAAATTAATAATTCATTCTCTGCCAGTTAATGAGAACATTCTTCAGAACGTTATGCAGAACATTATTTTATTCCAGTTTGAATAACCTCCAACTCTCTCATTGATTATGTAACTAAATGTTAAATACCATTTATACTAGTTCAGTAAAAACAGACTTCAGAAGTATTCTGTGATATTCTACCAAATTATATTTTGCCACTTGATTCTCTGTTGAGTCTCTCAGTATAGAGTCAAGAGCCTCTTTCTCTCTATTCTCCCTCATCCCAACCCTGCCCCCCATGCTTGGGTCCTGATCCCTGACTGTTCAGCGTCTTGGGATGTCCTCCAAACATGAAAGGTGCTTTACTAATGTTATTTTGTTGTTGTATCTCTCTATCCACACCCCCAAATCTCTCCCCCTTCTGATGCTCTCTTCTGAGTTGGTATCTATCTCTATATCTCTTGACTCTCTTTCTCTCTATCACCCCTGCCTTATCCAGAGTCTGTCTCTCTCTGGAGGAAAGAGACTGACTGTGTGAGTGTCAAGGTTCCTAATGAGTGTGGATAATTGGCTCTCTCCCATATTGTCAGTGCTAAGAAATGGCCCAATGCCTTGTTGTGATTAAGCAAATAGCTTTGCTTAAACATCAGACTTAATGAAGTAGGAAATGTTCCCACTATTTATCTACAAATACAGAATAAAAGGAAAAAAATGGCACGTCTTGTTTCTAACATTTATCTGGTGAGTGACTCAGCATGAACTTTGATGAGTTCATTTAACCACCTACTCCTAAGGAGAACAGCTATTAATAGGTGCAGCAAACTTCCTTTATTTAGAAAAAAGGAAATGTCATCTTTTAAATGTGGAGCGCTTCTAAAATTCTCAGGCTCTGCTGAGATAGATGGGGAATGATTCTGTAGAAATGCTGTTAACACGAACAATGTCTGGTCTGTAATCTTGTTTTTCCTGAAGTTATGCGACAGTCAGTCTTGAGGCAGAGTAGAAGAGTTCAAGGATACTAACTAACTAACGCATCTGAATTCTATTCACCCGAACTACATCTGACTGATTAGTGTAGAATTATTGATGCGGAGGGTATGGAATTCTTAATATGCTGAGTTCTCTTAGCTCCGAGCAGTTATTTTGAACCTGATATAAGTTGGCAAATAGAAGTAGGTAGGAGAGCGTGAGGATTTAAGCTTACGTAGGAAGAACCCAGATTTGTGAAGGAGAATTTAGAAATCCGTTAAAAGAAACTGTACTTGACCACTAATTGTTGTACAGCACACTGTCAGCCTTGCGGGCCATTGTCTTTACAGCTCTGAGTGAAGTGAAAATGGCATGATTTCCCTGCTGCCGCACATAACAAAACATGCACGTGTTATCACAGCATCTTTATCATATTTTAACTTTTAACCCAGGTATAGTTGCAGAAATCTAATTAAGTTGTTCTAGCAATAGCCTAGGCTTTTGCACGTTATAAATTGGAAGAATCATTTCTTTACAAGATAAATCTCCACCCGTGACTCACTGCCCTTCCCCAACACACACACACACATGCACATGCACACACGCACACACACACACACACACACACACACACACAACATAATCTTGTAGATCAGCACGGTGTATCCCCACCACAGTGGCTGATAACACAATGAATCAAAATTATATCCCGCTATTCCATTTTTGGCACAATGTAATCACTGTTGATTCCAATATTGGCTCCAAGTTTGTTGCATTAGATTAAGAGTTGCATTTGCTGAGAGTACCGTTTTTAACTACATAAATACGAGCTACTTTGCTCGGATATTGTTTTTGAGCACCGTTCTCTTCCTGTTTCCCTTCTGCAGCCAGGGACTTGACATTGACGGCTTCGTCTGCAAAGTAGATAGTGTACCCCACCCCCACCCAGCCCTACACTTTTTTTCATTGGGCTATTTGGAAATATGTCAGTTATCTAGTCCTCCAATGTTCTCTTCCTCAAAGTGCTTTTACATTTTACTTCCGGACATTTAGGACATTTGAATGTTAAGGTTTAGTTTTAGTTCCTCCTTCAAATAAGGAAATTGAAGTTGCATGGTTTAATGCTTAATTGTTACTTTTACAACACATACAATTTTCCATTACGAACAAATCTACAGGAAAATCTGAAACTTGATGTGCATTGAGAAGATTGAGCTTTGTTCTGAGAAGATTGAAATGTCAGTGATCTTGGGATTATAGGTTACATGATCTGTAACCATTCCTTTTCAAGGAAACTCAAGAGTTTTCTTGTGGTTGGTGTTTTCCCCAGAGTTGTTTCTATACCAACAAATAGCCACTCCTAAAATCTGACCTTCATTTTAACCATTTTAACAGTTCAGATGAATTTAGTCGGGACATTGTTCAATATCCATCTTACACAATTCGAAAAGAACTGCATTCTGTGGTAATATTAACTTGAGATTTCCCTCTTTTGCTTTTTATGCAATCTTTTATGCAAGAGAAGAAAGCCACTCAGCCCATCATGCATGTGCCGGCTCTTTGAGAGAGCTATCCAACTAGTACCCCTCCCCTGCTCTTACCCCATAGTCCTGCAAATTTTTCTTTTTCGAGCACCTATGAAACTACTATCGAGTCTACTCCCACCACTCTTTCAGGCTTTTTCAAAGATCCAGTACAGAAATAATGGGTTCTGTGCTATAATTTTTTATTGATTCACATATGCTATACAAATGAAATCTTGTTGTTGTTGTTGATTCAATAGAATGATGTAAAAGTATATCTAAAACAGAATAATTCCCAACTGATTCCTTATGAGCTTTCACAGAATTTCAAATAAGTCAATACAGACATCACACTTGTAGATCTTGTGTCTTTCACTCTCTCATTTCTCTTAAGTATCATCTTATGATAAATGTGATTTAATTAAAAATACAGTTGTGGGAAAATGTTCTACTTGTGTCACATTGACACTCTAGTACAATATTGGGGTGGGGGAGGGTGGAATCTGCTGAATTGTTGTAAGTGCCATCGTTCGAATGGGATTTTTAACGGAGATACTATCTGCACGTTCAGGTGTATGTTGAAGATTCCATAACACTATTTATAAATTTTCCAGTTGTAGTGGCCAACATGCTCTCTAGATTAATCGGGCGTTCACTTCATGACTGTGGATCCATACTGGGGCAGGGACTCTTTCCGTTCGTCTCCTGTTAAGCCTGTAAGCCAACGGTAGTTCCAGCTGGACAAGCGGCCGGAAGCTTTCCAGGCAGTGCTCACAATGGCAAGCTATGCCATTTTAGTTGGTTAAACTCCAGAAGTACCCCCAATACACACAACCATCTTTGTATTTGGCATAGCACTTATAACATCAAAATGTCCCATAATGATTCAGAGTTAACTGGTAACTTGATGAGAAACTTTGATGAATAGACGTGTCCAAAGTGAAGTTTGGGTCTATAGGGCATCCTTGAGATCTGGAGGGAGCATTATGCAGGTTAGGCATTTGACCCAACACTGTGCAGCAGAGATCCATCTATCCAGGGTAGATTTGGTTCTAAAGAGCATTAGAAGCCAGGATTACGTCGAATTCAAAATTGTTGTGGTAAATTGTTGTAAAAAGAAATGCGTTCTTCTGGACTTAACTGATTGAGTTCTCCCTCAGGCTTAACTGGTTTCCATGAAAAGCCAGGCATGTCCACAGCAAATCAAGGCAGACTTGGAGATGTGTCGTCAGTCCTCCAAGCCAAAGCCCTAACAGGTAAGGCGTTCCTAGCTTGACAAGTACCAAACTGCATGGTTACCTATTAAACGCCTTGTGTAACATCAAGTTTTGTAAGACATTCATTTGTAAATTGTCACTTATTTATGAATTTTCAGCACATTTTCAGGTAGTGAGAACAGCCGTGTAAACTACTCTTCTATTGCAATGAAAATCTGTTGGAGGCTCTAGAATCTACGTTGTTTGATAGGCTCAACCAAATTCCTACACTGATGGAACAATATTCTTCAGAATTTGGAACTAAATCACCAATTTTGTTTTAAGGCCACAAAGCAATGTTGCACTGGTAAATGGGTTCTCTTCTGATTTAGAAAAAAGCTAGTAGAGCAAAGCTAGTTTCCATGCTATCTGAAGACACATTCTTCACCACATTCTACATAAGAGAAGACTGAGTAAAAAGAAAAAACTGCTGCAACTGCAATTTTTATTTTGGGGGGGTTGGAAATCAAAGTGCTCTGAAACTTATGTGCACAAAAGATTTTATAGAGTGGTTCCAATGAAATTTGATACCCATTTCATGCTCTGATAACTGCAAGTATCGGAAGCACGAAGGTAGAATGAAAGGATTATTGTTGCTTATCTTGCAATACTGTAGCTGCTTTTGAGAAAATTGCTCGTTTGTTACAGGGATTAGGTTTGAAAGGGAACACCAGTTAATTAAATTGTGGGTAGAGGAAAGGCTACTTGCTGTTAGTTTGTGTGTCCTGTGCAGTGCTGCTGGCATTCAGAATTGCTGGAAACCCATTTATTATGCCAAGAGCACATCAGATAAAGGCATCATTCACGCCCAGTCAGTCGTTTGTGGTTCACGTATGTGGTGAACTCTGCTGACTGAACCATTCCTGTTATAAAACTCCAGTGGAGTTTTTTCACCTATCTGGTTCTTTTGTACTGTTTTAATGTACAGGTGACTATGTATGCTCAGTTACGATTGAGAAAGCTACAAAAGTGTTTCCTTTAAAATTGCCCAATCTGCGCTGTGATGCTTAAGTGTGTGAATGTTTCACAAACTGCACGTTTCAAGTCTTCAATTCTTGGGTGACTCTGCACATTTCACATTTTTGAAACGCTCGGCAAATTGTAAGAGACCTGAGATTTACTGAAGAAAAAAAGAAATACTGTATTTGACACGAAAGAAGACAAGCTTCTTGGTGGCCATGTAACACATGAGGAGAATGAGTCAAAGGAGACGGTGAGCTCTAAAAAGTTACTGGTTGAAGAAGGTGTGAGGGTACAGGTGTCAAAGGTAAGACATGGAAGCTACTGGTTGAAAACTGTTACTTCAATAAATCTTAGCCAAAGTTAAATCATTGTGAACCATGTGCCATGGCAGTCGATGGTGTTAAATCAGCATTAAGCCCCTCTAATGTGATTTTAAAAAATCATTCAAATTTTTATTTCCCCTTGAACAAAAGAAAATCCTACTGAGTTTGCCATTGCCATTACTCAGTTTACAAGTACCTTGGTGAGCCCATTACCTGCAAACCAGGATCTTCAGTTTTGTCAACAACAACAACAACTTGCATTTATATAGCACCCTCTTGCCTCTCTCCCAACTCACTGGCGGCGTCTGCTACATCCGGTCCAGTGGGCTGCTTGTCGGTGCGTCCTCACCTCTGTCGGTCAAGCCAACGGCTCACCTGTTTTAAAGTGGACCGATCCTTTAGGATTTATTCAGCGCTCTCTCCCCTCCGCCCCCAAGAGTGTTTTCTACTGTTGCCTATGGTGTCAGCCTGACTCAGTTGGAAACGTTCTTGCCTGCAAGTCAGAAGGTTGCAGTTATGACCCCCAAATGTGGACTTTGAGCGAATGATCCAGATTGACGCTCCAATTCAGTGTTGAGTCAACATTGCATTGTCAGAGTTGCCGTCATTTGGATGAAACTTTAAACTGAGGACTGTTTGCCTATTTAGGTGGTACGCTTATGACTTATTTTTTGCAAAAGTGTGAAATGTTTACTGTTCAGTTCTGATTTCCAGCAACGTTCATGACTGTACCTCAAGTCAATGAAGCAATCCAGATGTTTACAGTGTTGATTGGCTTGTATGTAATGGAAAGTTTCACAATAATTATATGCTTCAAAACAACAAATTTCCTGAGTGCACAGAAATTAGTTGGAGGTACTAATCGTTATAATAAAAATTGAGTAAATGATGACATCTCAGTAAGCTGTGATTTTTTTTGTCTTTTAATGCAGGAGTTATTTTAAGCACTTAAAGTGGCTTACAAAATTGCTCAAAAAATTACCAGAAACTGTGCACGCAAAATGCTGCAGAGTATTATGCTGTAACGGTTTGTGGTAAAATATATGTTGCATTTTAATGATTAGCTGCAAGTTAAATCTTCTTATCTTGCTATGCTACAGGATGAGGGGCCAGTTAAGAAACCTGCAGGGAGAAGGATAGGCAAACGGTTGCTCTTAAGGGTGGGATTTGGGGGTGGAGGAGACCTGAAAAGGAAAATAGAGTGAAGTATTTTGAACTGATTATATTTTGTAAAACAAACCATCTGTATGAAAGGAAAAGCCGAACAGGAAATGTGAATGCCAGAAGCTAAATCTAATGGCACAAAATGTGGGAACCATTCACAGTAGCACCACTCTTGATGCCACCACAGAGCAAACTAAATACGTATGCTGTTTTATTTCTCATTAGTGCATACAGCAAAGTACTCAAACATACAGAAAGTACTGTATAACTGTTCCCAGATCTAATTTCCTCTTTTAATTGCTAAACAAATTAGGGTAACGTTGGAAACATTGATTAATTTACCACAGCTAAATACTTTCACGTGCAAAGATTCTGGTGTGCACAGCAACGGCTATTAGATGTTTGCGGGAAGAACTTTTTCTCCCTCGGGGTTGGGGAATGAAAATTTCTGCTCAACAAGATTACACAGTCCATGTTGAGCAGTGTAATATTCAATACTTCATCACTTTCAGAATCAAGCTCAATTGAGTCAGCTGCAGTATTGGTTAGATAGAAGGTAAAGCTTCCTCTACAATACGAGAACAGTAAAGTGAATTCACTGTATATTTTATGGGCGAAATGCTAGCAGCCAATTGTGCACTGCAGTGTCCCACAAACATCCGTGGATTGAGTGATCAAATTATTATTTATTTTTTAAAGGGATTGTTACCCCCAGAAACGTGATCTGCAAATCGACTAACATCTGGCCTGTATCTATGTTGTAAATGTTCTATAATTAATTCCAAGCGTATCCTCGGATAGAAACATCAGGGCCTGGCGATCTGCCCAGTTTAAGTCTCATTAGTTTTTGCATTATATTTTTCCTGCCTTTTACTAATCCCTTTAAATTTTCTCCTTCACTAAAGGAGAACTTTTTCTATCTTTAGGATGACATCCCTTTTTCCATTGTGAAGACAGCAGCAAAATATTAATTTCAGTACTGACACTTTATATCTCAGCAAGTTGTATCGCACCTCTCTTGAGAGGTACGATACAATGATCATTGGAAGATTGAGGCGTTCTTACTAGGATATCAAAGGGTGACCTACTTAGAATATGTGTAAGTAGGGTGTGCCTCTTCTGTGAAGCATTTTGGGACTTCTCAATGACGTGATAAGGTGCTTTATCAAATACAAGGATTATTATTTTTAAGGGAAATTTTGGCATAAGGCAAAATGATGCTTAATCCAGAAACCAGACACAAAAATAAATGTACATTTACATTCAAAAGACATCTTAAATAGCTTTATACAATTGATCGGGAGCCTGAGGAGAGGTGGAAGGTAGATGAAAGTATGGTTAAGAAGATGGGTCTTAAAGTAGGTTTTGAAGTCAGGGAAGAAGGGGGAAAGGCAGATGAACTCATGGATGGAGTTCCAAACAGTGTTTCTTCCGATGTTCTTCCTGTGCAACGTATTGGCAGCAACCTCTGGAAGTAGGCTGTTTGTTAGCATATGAAAGAAGCCAGACAAGGTTTTGAAGCATAATGGCCTGTGTCAGGGTCCTTATCTAATTGTGCTCCATGGGAACCTTATAATGAAGTGCATTATAAAAGGCTTCTTTTGTACCCTTTCAAAATAAAACTTGAATGAACTATAGCTAACCTTTCTGCTTTATCTCACAATTGGAAGTATTAAAATAAATTCAGGAAACGACCTTATTCAGTCATTAAAGGAACAGTTAGTACCTCATTTTTGGACGTTTGTCTTTTCTCCCCAGGTCTGCCTGACTTCTATAGTTACATGAGAAATGTCAAAATGATTTTACAACACAGAACAGGACAATGCAAATGCATCAATAAGGTAGGCTACAGTGCTGTAAATTTTAAATGTAAATGTTTATTTGGGCTGCAAAACACACAAGTTAAGGATTTATATTAACATCTCTCTATAGTAAAACATTGGAATACGGTATAAAAATATTAACAGAATTATTGAGAATCTGCAGCAGGTCAATTAACATTTGAAAGTATTTGGGTGTGCCTCTTGTGTGAAACATTTTAGGACTTCTCGATGATGTGATATATTTAGCAAATATATATAATTTGATATATTATAATATATATATTAACTCCCTTGCCACCTTTAAGACCCTCCTCTTCGATTGTGCTTTTGATCTCCCTGCTTCCCCGCCGCCCCTTCCACCCTGACCCCCAGCTTGTGTCCGTAACTCTGTTTGTCCAGTGCCTTGGGACATCCTCCCGACGGGAAAGGTACTTTACAAATGTAATTTTGTTGTTGTTGATGTTCTGAGCAGAACTCTTAATTAGAACTAAGGATTATCACAAAATGTTCACATAGCTCTCTCTCTTTCATATGCCAAATAATGTTACAATTGCAGTTTTACAATCATAATTTATAGTTATATAGCACCTTTTACATCAGGAAGACTAAGGATTCTCAAAGCGCTTCAGGGAACTCCCAACATAGCATTTGGGATTGAGAAGGGGCCATTGAATCGCTGGAGCTCATACCTGTGGTACAGTAATACCTGTGACGTTCCAGCAATGGGTCTGAGGAATCATTTTTGATTCATTTTTCTTGTTTGATAATAATTAATAACCCTTGCATTTTGATAGATCATCCCAAACATTATAACTGAATAAACAAAAGACCTGTATTTGTTCTAAATTTTCTGGTTCTGTTTCTTGCCTCACTTTAAAGAAATCATTTACACCAATAAAGTTAGTCTGATGTCCTCCGTTTAACTCTTCTTTGCAGACTACAGTATAAAACTATGTTTCTCTTGTTGTCCCAATACATCTCTGCTCTAAATGGGTACCCTTCTTTAACAACCTTACATTTGTTATATAACCTTATCACGTCAGAATATCTCAAATTGCTTTGTTCAACAAACCAGTTTTCTAATTGTGGTATGTTTCATTGGTTTTAACTTTTTTGGGGATATCTGCACAGATGTAAGACCCATTTAAATCGTTGCTATTGAAAGCACTCGTTAGGGCTTTGCCTTCCAGGGCTAATAGAGCCTAATGAGAAGAATTCCTGTCCATGTGACTGGTCTACCCCTTCAAGGGCTGCTAATGAGCAGACTGGGTGATTCGGCATTGTCCTGGAGCTCTGCTCTGGATCCACCTGCCATAGAGGGCTGACTCAATTTCAAGATCCTGTTAGGAATCATGATACTCTGGAGCCAGCTTAGCTCCAATGAGACCCAGTTTACCTTCCTTTCTCTCTCCTCCTCCCCCCCCCCCCACCGTACAACTTCTGTCTAGTTTTTTGAGACGTTTTTGACAAATTGATAAAAGGTTATATCAAATGTCAGGATTATTATTTTTTAACCAATCTTATGCTCTGTTCCCAAGCACTGTTGTTTTAGCCTTTCAGGTGGAACTTGGTGAAAAGTAGTGACAAAGTCTAAATATATTGCATCATGCGCTACATCACGATGCTTAGCACTCTTCAAATCCCTCCACTCCTCTGCATCTGCTTACCTCTCTGACCTCTCTCCTCACAACAGTGCCTGTTGCCTTCGTTCCACTGGGTCTGTCCTCCTCCTTGTCCCCCGAGTCCTCCGCTCCACCCTCGGCAGTCTAGCTTTCAGCCAATACGCCCCGAGGCTCTGGAACTCACTTCCTCACTCCCTTCGCCTCACCACTTCTCTTCCTATTTACAGGTCTCGGCTGAAGACCTTTGTTTTCGACCACGCCTTTGGTCACCTTCCTCCCCCTCCCCCCTGGCTCGGCCCTGGGATCCGTTACTGTGAAGCGCTCTGAGACGCTGTGAGGGTGTTATATAAATCCAAGTTGTTGTTGTTGTTTCCTCGATTCAACAAAATATTTGTTTTCTTGCCTTTAAAGAGCTTGCCGTTCCTTCTCAGGGCCTTGCAATGCTTAGTGTTAATTTGTAAAGAAACCACAGAGATGTGGTATTGTGGTGCAAAACAACTCCGCTCTTGGCTGACAAAGATGTTTGGTAGAGTTGTTCATGGGTGAGCCACAAATGGCCCAAGAATCTAATTTAAAGACTTCAGTAGTTTTAGAATAACTTCCTGCACATTTACCATGACCACAATGAGTAGGATATACAAAGTATACATTTTATAAATAAAAAAAGAAGATTCTTGCAAATAAATTAAGATAGGACTTTGCACAGTGAAGACAAGAGCAGCTTGCACTTACATAGTGCTCTTCCTGTAGGGTAGCGCATCGCATTGCTTACGCTGGCAGGAAACACAGGTTCTTTGATCTCTTCGAAGGCTGTCACAATGGTCCAAGGTGATATTTTTAATCCCCGCTGTGTATTCTCTACTTTAATTTCTGTTGCATGTGCACATTCTATGTGCAATAAACATTTGCAATAATAATAATACCTTAATTACTGTGTGTGTATATATATAGTGACAGTATATTTTCTACATGAACAATTTGCATACAGAAATCTCCCATAAAAAGAAATGAAGTGAATGAACACTTATGTAGGGGACTATAATTTTGAATGGTGCATGTGAGCTCTTTAATATCCAACTGAACTGGCAGACCTTTTATGAGCATCTGATTCAAAGGGTGGTACCTAAGAGATTCAATAGCATATTGCCCCACCCCATTTCTAAAACTATCTTACTTTTTAAAAATTCTGCTGAATAATCTCCAGGGCAAGGCACGTCAGTACAGTGAACCAGAGAGAAGCTTCATTGGTATGTTTCTCTTAAGAGAAAAACATTAAGGTCAAGTGGAAAGCAGCTCTTACTGAGAGCTACCCATACAGCGTTGTCATAACAACACCATTCCTGGCTCTCGCAGCTTCTCTTTTCTCCCTAAACATCAATAGTACAAAAGGCTGGCTGTACTTTCTTACGTTTAAGCTTATTGTGCACTAATTGTTAAGGCAATGTCCAAACAATATGCCTGCTTTTTAAAAAAAAGGCCATTTGTCTCTCGGCAGTGTTGTGTAGATGCATTTATCAAGCTTCAACTATCGTAAATAAGTCTTATTTTTACAAATCGTATAATCGCCTAAGTTGTACATTTACCCGATTCCCATTCAGTTTCCTATTAAAACCGCTTAGATTTCTTTGCACTATCCATATTAATCACCTCCTAACTCACAAGGCCGCTCCCCGATCCTTCATTACTCCCACACTTACCGGCTACATTTAATTGTAGGAAACGTTGTCTTAAAGATTGATCCACTTGGGAGCCAGTGGAATTGGGGGTAGGATTACAGAGCTGAGGGTAAGAGAGGGTAGAGCTGGGGAGGCGGGCAAGCAGGGCTTAGGAATATACTAGGTGACACAGGTGAGGGTGAGGGTTTTCATCTACATGGTCTGGGGGTGTGGGGGGAGGGGTGCGGGTGGAAGTAGTGGCAGAGGCAGGTGATATTGCAGAAATGGAGAAAATCAGACTTGGTCAGAGCCCAGGTTATTCCCCTTTAAATGGAATGATCCGTACTCCTATTTTAGAATGTGTAGTGTTCGTGACTAATCTTGGTTCGTTATTCAAATCGGAGTACTTTGTGGAACATCGACTGATATAAGGCCTCTTTAGAACCGTATCTTATCAATTCGCCCTCTATATGAGTAAGATAACCACATCCTCTTTCAACATTTCCTTGGCAACGCCTTTTCTCCGTAGAGTGTACACTTTTTGCATCTCTAAACAAATAAAAGGTGTATCTTTTTAAAATCCTCTTGGGTGAGAAACCTTCCTCTGAGAACCTCATGATTGTAATTGCTTGATATCTAGGTTTCTAAATCATTCAGCTCATCCTGTTTGTTACGGCTATTTGAGAACCAAACAAAACGTATAATATAAAGTTTTAAATTGTGTACTGGTTCTTTATTGGTTGTGGAGTCCTGTAGCTCAGTAGTGAGAGCACTCGCTTTGCAAGTGAGAGACCTGAGTTCAATTCCAGGCAGAGGGCGAAACCTTGGGCAAGTTTCCTTACTCCACATGACTAATAATAATCCGTCCAAAACCAAAAACAATAATAAATTGGTCATTTTCAATCCACGACTGATTGTGGGACATTGCTTTGCGCAATTGGCTGCCGCGTTCGCCCACAAATATACAGTCAATTCACTTTACAGTGTGTTCTGTGAAGCGCTTTGGGACGTCCTCCCGACTTGAAAAGCGCTATATCAAATGCAAGGATTATTATCATTATTATTATTAATATTTATTGTGGTATGAATCCTAAAGAGCCTGTTAGAGACTTTGTATATTGTAGAATCTTAGCGATCCACTGTATATTCCTGTATTGCTATACCACCTGTTATATGATTAGGTGGAACATTAGAATCCAGGGCCAGTGTGTATTGTGGGACACTGACCTGAACTGACAATGGTTTTAAAAAGCTATACGTAAAAGAAGAAAGAAAGGGGAGGGGGACAAAAGTGATGCATACAACTGTTACCTGAGCCCCTCTATTAGACTATAACTCTGTAACTTCCTACCATATTAGTGCATCAGATAACAGCCCCGAAAGGTTCAGTTCATATTGAAAGCACCGCTGACACTTAAAGCATTGGCTGTTAACGTTTTGTGGTGAAAATACCTGACGGGTTGTAGGGAAACGCACAAAGCAATAACTACAGTATACTACTCTGTATCATGGGCAGATCTGTACTACTTTCTCAGTGTGAGTTTTGCATCTGAGAATATATTAAGCTAAATATAAGAATGAGCTGGTCTAACAGAGAAAGTATGTAGATTGTTACCCAGCTGCTTTGATAGATGTTTTAATTTACTGAGTCTTTCTGTTTGCTTGAGGTTCTTCTACCCTTTTCCACCATTATTATCTTGCTCTTTTTCTCCTCAATTTCCCCTTTGTGTTATATTTCTCCTCGCCTTTATTTTTTCTATCATTTCTTGCTCCTTGTAGACTTTACTGACTTGTACGCTTCTTTGGGTAAACTGTACAGGGATTGAGCAGATGGACTGAATTGTATATTATTAGTGAACCTGTAATGTTTCATTTGCACTAGTTTTCATATTCCAATGATGTCCTGAGAGAAAAGGAAGAGAAAGTGGAGCCAGTATTAGGATGTGCAACCATTTTCAATCAACACAAGATACGCAAGGAATTGGTAAGTTTAGAAATGGTTTGAAACAACTGTAGCCCCAAATTGAAGGTGTAGATAATCCATTATTGTCGCATTTGGGCATGACATTCCCTTTGTAATTTGGGTAATGACAGCCAGCGATTAGGCAAATTAATCATTCTATATCTGTTTGAAATGGATTTATTCATCCTAATAAGCCTCTGTGTGAGTATTTAAAATGTACACGTTTTTGCGTACGCGAGTGCGTGTGTGATTTTTGTGTGTGTGTGTGTAGCTAACAACTTACAGAGAGTTTGAGATGAAATTTGCATCTTAATTTAAACCTTGATTATCCGCCTTCACTCGCTTGACTCAGGTCTGCTGCGTAGCTCTTGGGTAAATTGCTAGCTTCTGTTCTATCACATTGTGACCAGCCAGCCATTGGAACGTAACTGCTTTATGTAGATGTGCGTCATTTTTGTAGATATACACTTTTGTATAGAAACCCAGCGCCTGCCAACTTATACTTGTGTTCTGCACGCTTAGCAAAGCATGGTGTGTTCCCCTCCCCAGGGGTAGATTACCCAATTCAGCGGTGGGCAAACTGAAACTCTGCTTTTGAGAGTTCTTCATGGCTAAGATTAGAGACTCGTTTGTGGAACAGAGCTGTTAACAAAAACAAAAACAAAAAGACACAAAGGCAGTATATTGTTTGGGAATGCTGACGAGTGATTATGAAATCCATTGGTGCAATCTAATAAGCTAAAATGAGTGCTGCAAATGCTTTTGGAAATGGGAACATAATGCCTGTGTATTGATCCACCTATTTGGAATAATTTGGCTGAACCTTCTTTTCCATCTGTTTACCACTATAGTCAAGTGCTGCCAATATTTATGTTCCAATATATAACAGATGATGCTGTTGTGTAAAGACAGGGTTGATTTTTAAATGATGGATGAATGAGTTTTGTATTACCTAAGTGAAGTGACATCTGTGCACCAAATATAAGTTCCTTTTGTACCCTTTTAAACATTGGTCTTTTATCCTGTCTGGACACGCTGTCTGCATTGATCAAAAATACTCAAGTGATGTATTTGTAGGTTAATGACTGTGTGTGTCATTTGACTTTCGAGAATGATTGTTGAATGCAAAAGGAGAAGTGAAAAGCTCGACACAGTAGTTTGTGAGGTAAAATTGCTTAGTATGGTGTAATGTGTAGTGAGAAATTATGTGCTTTGGAGCACAAATTTGTTGAAGAAAGTTTATCAGGTTGCGACTCCAGGTCTGCTGATTGTCGGACATCAAGTCCTGGACGAGCGCAAATTTCTAGCAACCGAAAGTCGACAAGACCTAAGTCATACACTTTGGCTCACATCAACGTCTTCTCTCCTGCGGCTCTGACCTACCCAACCTCCCTGGCCTTTCCCAAAGAATTTTTATGTTAAGTGTTGCGACCGTGTATTTGTAGCCAATGATGGCTGCTAATTTTGCACACAGGCCAGGACACCAGGAAAAACTCCCTTCTCTTTATGAATAGTGCCATGGAATCTTTAATATCCACCTGAACAAACCGAGGTGGAACCTTAGTTTAATATCCCATCCAAAGAATGGCACCTCTGACAATGCAGCACTTCCCCAGCACTGCTTTTGAGTGTCATCCAAGACTGTTCAAAGTTTTGACAAGGGGTTTGAACCAACAACCTTCTGACTCATTCAAGATGGGTAGTGCTATCGATTGAGCTAGACTGACTTCTTTAGGGAGCCCACTATTTGCTCTATCTGTAGCACGTTACCTTGACAATATAATGTGAAAAATCCAGAAGGTCAATATCCTCCCATCCAGATTTGAGCTATTATGTTTTATTATATTTGTACATATTTAATACGTTCTGAAATCAGTGACTCCATTATGCAGCAAGAACTATTTACAAAAGCCCACGTAATGTTGCTCATTAGACTCATCGTGGGTTAGCTGAACCATTGGGAGCACTACACCTAGGTTCGGTGAGTGAAATACATTTGCCGTGCTTCAGTGTTAACCTGCGTAATAGATGTTGTAAATGTTTGTGTCAATCTATACCAACCAGGTGCAGTAAATATTGCCAGGGAAGAATATTATCAGGCAGAATATTTGCAAAGTCTTGATGTATTGCTTCGAGAAATGTTTGGCTTTCTATTTATCCAGTGGGCTGTAAAATCTTACAGAAATCTACTTGTTTCTGTCAGTTGGCTATTAGTATCGAGTTCTGTTGAAGTAAAGGCATTGCATCTCTTCTGGGAGGGAAGAGATAAGGGAGACACTGCCATATACCACAGGGATTCATGTGTGCAGCTGCAAAACCGGTTTAAAATGTCTCTGCCTCCCACTGCTGGTGAGGCTCCTTCTCTCCTGCCAACATTCCAGCTTGGCGATAAGCAGCTGCATAAGGTCTGCACGGGCAGTGCTTTTTCAGCACAAAATAACTGTGAGTAATAACCAGCTTGTGAAAGTGTGTGTTATTTGGAAGAATTCTTAACATTTGGAGAAATGATCCCACCTTGAAGCAATGCTGTAAAATGATATATTAATTCAGGTATGTTTTGACTGTGTTCAGGCAATGAGCATAGTTGTGAGTTACAAGGTCTACTGCATCCCAAAATTTGGTATTCTACTAATTTCACTGTTCTGAATGCCTGTGTGTAACTGATGAGAACAATTACTGTAGCATTAATAGACTTGCCAAGTATTGTGCCGGCACTTAATGTTTCAGTGGACTCATTTTCTTCATCTGTTTTCTCAGAGCAGAAATGATCATCCCACTGAAGTGGCTGGCAACTGAACAGCAGTAAGCGCTCTGCAGGAGCGAAAGCATCAACATGCGCATCAGAATGAGGCGCGCTGTTCTATTCATTTGCTGTGCTGTTCTTACCATGATGGTCTTTCATCTCGGCCAACAAATTTGGAAATGTCAACAAATGATAAACGAGGAAGGGGGCTGGTATCAAGGCAGACGAACACATGGTATGATGAAACCAGAATCCGAGGAAATGATCATGCACAATTCACGGAATGTGGAATACCGCTACAGTAAGAACATGCCTATCATCTTCATCGGTGGCGTGCCGCGAAGTGGGACCACGTTAATGCGAGCCATGATGGACGCTCATCCTGAAATCCGCTGTGGCGAAGAAACACGGATCATCCCCCGGGTGCTGACCATGCGCCAGATGTGGTCTCGGTCGGAGCGGGAAAAGATGCGCTTGAATGAGGCGGGGGTCACGGACCAAGTCATAGACTCTGCGTTGCAAGCCTTTATTTTGGAAATCATTGCAAAACACGGGGAACCTGCCAAATACTTGTGCAATAAGGATCCCTTCACATTGAAGTCTCTAACTTATCTCTCCAAACTGTTTGCACAGTCTAAATTCATTCTGATGATCCGGGATGGCCGGGCATCTGTGCACTCGATGATCACAAGAAAAGTGACAATTGCTGGATTCGATCTGAACAGCTACAGAGATTGTATAATCAAATGGAACAAGGCCATTGAGATCATGTATGGACAGTGTATGGATGTGGGGCCTTTGAGGTGTCTCTCTGTTTATTATGAACAGCTTGTATTACATCCCAGAAAGTCCACGGAGACGATCATGAAATTCCTCAATATTCCGTGGAACGATGCAGTTTTACATCATGAAGAACTAATCGGAAAGGCTGGAGGAGTGTCGCTTTCCAAGTGCGTGTTTTTTTCTTTTTGGTATATTAATTGGTTGCAATGAAGGAAGATAGAATTGGGAAATTTCTGTATGAAATTCAGTGACTGTATCAGCTACCCCAGATCAGGCACACACTGGTGCAGTGTGTACCTGCCAGTGCATCCAGTCCTTATGCCCGTTCTCTATCCAATAATTTAACCCATCACTAATGCGAGAAAACTGCGCTTTCATCACACCAGTGTGTCGAGACCACTCTGCCGATCTTATAATATATGTATAATAATCCTTGCATTTGATACAGCACCTTATCATGTCTTCAAGACATCTCCAAGTGCTTCACAGAACATACTGTGAAGTGAATTGACTGTATGTTTTGTGGGCGAAACTCGACAGCCAGTCGCACACAACAGTGTCCCACAAACAGTTGTGGATTCAGTGAACAAATTATTATTATTTAAAAGAAATAATTTTTAAGGGATTAATACATCTGGAAAAGCGATCTGCCAATCGACTTAACAAATTGGCTTCCTACTTACTGCTAGGTAAACAGAGGCCTGTGGAGTAAGGAAACTTGCCTAACATTTTGCCCTGTGCTGGAATTGAACCCAGCTCCTCTCTCTTGCGAGGTGAATGCTCTTAACCACTGAGCAACAGGACTCCACTTTATCTATCTTCATACCATATGTAAACATTAATGTTCTTGTAAATGCAGTTACCGCCATCAATTTGATGAAAATATGCACAGCACAATCCTGAACAATTTGAAGATCAAGGAGGTTCTGAAGGGTGGATTAACATGTTATAAATTGCATATTGAACAGTGCAAGGTGGGTTTAAATCTCATGTCCTTCCTAGCCATAGAGAAGACTTTAATAGAACAAGGTGGGTGAGGACTGGGAAACTTTGGCATAACACCCTCCTGCTTTGTTTTTATCAAATGAACATAAACGGGGTTACAGGAAATGTGTCCAGTTTAACTTGAAGCTGAGCCCACAGTAATTCTTAAGCTTCCACCCTTGAACTGTACTGTAGGATTGTTAAGTGGAGTGCAACAAGTGGATATGACTAATTTGACCAACAATTTGTTTGAAATGTTTTCTGTTTTTTTCCCATAGAATAGAGCGATCCACCGACCAGGTTATCAAGCCGGTTAACCTGGAGGCTTTGAGCAAGTGGGTGGGACACATTCCCGACAATGTAGTGCAGGACATGGCACAGATAGCACCCATGTTGGCCAAACTCGGATACGATCCTTACGCCAATCCGCCAAATTATGGAGCTCCTGACGCACTAGTAGTTAATAACACCAAAAGGGTAGGTGCAATAATTATTTTATTTTTTATTTTATTCTATATTCTATATATTATATTTTATTAGTTAGATTGTTTTCTTGCATCGTTTGAATGTGTCACCATTTTCCTGATTAAAAGAGGAAGGCTGAACAGTCACCACAAGGTCTGCTGATATACTGTTGAACCAAAGTGACCTGCGGTGACTGTGTCCAATTTTCTTCCCACGCCCAATACATCTCCTTGGGTTTTGTGTGAGTGCTGTGTGTGAGTGAAGCTTTGGCTAATTTGGTCTTGTTTTTTTCTGGCTGACACTAGCTGTGATGTAACTATTTATAATCCTGTGTTTTTCTGCACTGCTGTGTTGCTATCCTTACATTCAGCTCATTAATCTGATTGACTTCAAGGGCCACACCCTAACCTTCAAATCCTTCCAGTCTTTCCCAACTGGCCAACTTTCTCCTCCTGGGCTCCCCATTGTCATTGTGCCTCTCATCCTACCCGAGAGACTTTTTTAATAATAGCAAATTGTTGTATCTGACCACTGGCACTTCCAACTGATTTGGGGGAGAATAAGCATTCCATATAAACCAGTCTCTGTCCCTATAAAACAATACAATTGTTCTTCAAACCCATGGAGAGTTGTGGTTTTGGAGTATTATGTGATAAAATGAAGCTTACTTTAGGCATGCTGCTGAACAGTAATGGTATTGTATGAAGATAAATGAGCTAAGAATTCAAGGGCCCCAATTTTTCAATAATGTTTTGATAAAATTGGGTTTCAATGCATTTATTATCCAGGATTTCATTCATGTTGTTTAGCTTTGAATGTGATAAGAATGATGGAGCCATGAATTAGGCTGGAGAGCCATCCCCTGGTCACTATGGTATCTGCACATTTGTTGAAAAGAACTTGTGAATAAATAATAATCCTTGCATTTGATACAATGCCTTTTCTGTATAATTCCTGTGAAATGTAATGACTGCATTTGTATAGGTGAATAAAAGCAGCCAATTTGCACACCGCAGCATCCCACAAATGTCCATGAAGTGAATGATCAATTTGTATTTGGAGGATTGTTGGCCAGAATTTTGGGAGAAAATCTCTTCTGTTTTCAAATAGTGCTGTAGAATCATTAAAGGCCACCTGAACAGGAAGATAGGACCTTGGTTTTAACGTCTCTTCCGAAGGACAGCACCTCCAACAAAATGCATACCTCCAGAATTCTATTGGACTTGAATCTGACTCAGAGGCAAAAGTGCTACTAACTAAGACGAGCTGTGACGATCTTGTGCAGCACATTGGTACGTGTTGTGCTGCCTGCATGTTGCTTTGCTGTGACTTTATATTAATTTTTCTTCATCCTATCAATGTTTCACAGGTCATGAAAGGTGATTTTAAAACACCGGCCAATTTGAAAGAACCTCTACCGGTAGGACAGCTTTATTACTGTTTCTGTGTTTATTTTTTCATGTACCTTCAAATTCAGGGTGCACCTTATAATCTATCAGATCATGTTGTTTAGTAGGACAGATCATCTCCATGTAATTTTTTTGGAGGATGAGAAAGATGTGTAAAAAAAACAAATGTTGAAAGTTCTGCCATATTCAAGATACTATTAAGATTTTCTCCTTCCACCAATGGTTCCTCTACCCATGTGCCATCTGTAGAGAAGACAAACTGAGCAGCCTGCTCCCAGGCCCTGCACTGAAATTAGCCTCTTGGTGATGCCCAATGGTATTCTGGAGTGATTCTCCCTTCTAATGTGGGGAGCATTCAGCTTCTGTCCAGCGCTTCTCCTCTGTGTGGGAGATGGAAGGGGTGGATACATTCTGAGGTTGCTGGAAGTGCTTCCATTACAACTGCAGAAAAGATGCGACAATTGGTCACTCAGAGTATTGCCACAGAAGACTGACATCAACAGTTCATCTTCTAATGGGGGCACAATGCAGCAGAAATGGCTTGTTATGGGATGGTCCAGCAACCTCCCCCAAACTGTATCTTTCAAGCATAACGAACCTGCGAAAGTTTGTGTGAATTCTGCAGCTGGATGGAATTTTATTTTCTAATTGCTTTTCGTACAGGTAAAGCTGAATGTTTCAACAAATGGATTGCAGTGATATCTGGATACAGGTGTGTGTGTGTCAAAATTTCGCATCTGACTTCATCAATAATAATTCATCCTTACATTTTATTCATTTATATATATACTTCTAAAGCTTTAGAAATTTTCAGTCGTGTTCCATTTACACTGATCCTACAGATTTGTAGGACAGCACTAACCGTACTCACAAGCCTTCCCCACAAGGCTTGTGTTCAGGTTATAAACCTGTTGATTGTTTTGGGAACGCCGCTATAAAATGGAACATTCGAAAATGTTTTGCCGAATGTTAAAAAATGTTAGGATTTCAGCCCTCTTAATATAGGCAGTAACTACACATTGTGCACCCGGACCTTTGAAGACTTTGTGCAAGATTAATATGCTAATAGGAATCTTCTGTTTCAGGTTCATAAGATGTAGCTGCCAGAAAAAAAAATGCGGAATCTAAAGAAATGAATGAAAAAAAAGAGCCAACAAAACCTCTTACAGCCTTATATCTGTTCCAACCAGTGGTGTCTGATTAAGGGGGTATGCCTGTGATTCTCTTCACTGAACTGGAATGTTTTCATAATGGATATATTATTGATATGTCCTTCTTCAAAGCAGGCTTGGTTCATTGATTCCGAGAGAAACTCATCAGTACAATGATTATCTGTCTGTATTCTGACCGTGTCGATAGTTTAAGCACGTCTCCAATGTGATTTTTTTTATATACAGGTGCATTTTCTCCAAGTATTTTATAACAGATTGGGGGAGGGGGATGCTTCAAACTGCTGTGTTACTTTATATGACCACTGGGACAGTCAAGAATGTGTATTCGTTACGATTTTCCTGCTAAACCATGCCTGACAATGAATACACCCGTCAGTAAAAGAATAGTGAAGAATTCTTAAAAGTGGAAACTCCAAAGTTTGATAGAATAATGGGGAATTAATATTTCAAATGAGGGACAAGTGCAGTAGTTTATTCATCAGCCAACCTATAGGTTGGTAAGTGTTAAATCCACAGATAGCCATCTGGTATTATTTATACATTTAGACTATAATGATTTTTTAAAAATATTTTAATAAATAGTAATAAATGGTAACTGGACCATTGGATGTTGCAAAGTTCACATGACTTAGCATCTGACAGAGCAGAATTTCTTGCTGTGAAGCCATGCTAGGTTATTCTTGATAGAGTTGCACAATTGTCACCATCCCTGGCCTGTCATAAATTGGTTAATAGACTGTAAACATCTCTAATGGAAAGATTTTCATTGGAGAATATTGTTAATATCCAACAACACTGCCTTCAGATCGGGAAGATATTTTTGAACCCAGAAGGCATAGATCGCCTTCCCTTTTTGATCATTGAGGGTTTCGCATTCAGCGAGTTACCTCCAATAACTGTGACTTACTTTACCAATAATATCCGTGGTACTGTATATTGTAGCAGGATTGTGTAGTGGAAAGATAAAGATGATGTCCACCCATATTTGAATGTAAAATTCAAAGTAAATTTATTAAACAGCTGAACTAAGTAAAGCATCAAAACTCTAGGGACATCAGTTGCCTAGGCTGTTCTACAGACCACTGAATATAAACTTGAAACGATACTCATTTTACGGGGACATAGATCCATCTCCAGATGAGTCGATTTCCCACTGCTAGCAGGAACCACTGGGACAAACCACTGTTGGGAGAGATGTTCTTTCAAGCCAGAGGCTGCACTTAATTCTCAGCTAAATCTCGGTCCCCACTGAGCCAACACCCTCTTCCACGTTTCCATTGGCGGTCACTCAGCTGTGCCACTCAACTGAACCTCCTGTGGTTGGCTCGTGATTTCCACCACTTGTTCATTCCTGCACTATGTGGCTCCTTTGGGAGGGGGTGACCTGCTTTGGCCTAGGTGGTCCAAATAACTGCTCTGCCATACTGTTTAAACAACTTTCATTTATACAGCACTCTTCAAGTAGAGTAACTCTCTTGAGCACTTTACAGTTACAGCAAACTGGGGGTAGGAGAGGAATTAGGTAAGTGGCACGATTAAAGAGATGGGTCGTTAAATGACAAGGGCTGGACAATCAGGGTTTTGGATCCGAGTTGGGGGTTGAGATCAGCTGGGGTGGGAGTAGGAGGGTGACCAAAGGTAGGGTCAAAGAGGGGGATCTTGAGATGGGCCTGAAGGAGTCAAGGGAGGAAGTAAGGCAAAGGGACTGGACTGGAATTCCAAAGGATGGGGGCTGAAAGCCCGACTGATATTTTGTAAAATGTATCTTCTGTTTTAATGGAGGTATACATGAAATCTCAATGGTACTGACATGGTATTTGGTTACATGCAAGACGTATTACAGGAGTTGCTAAGAACATTTTGGTTCTGAAATGTTACGGGGGGGAGGGGGTTAGGAGATAAGGGATGGTGGTGGGAGGAAAGGAGAAACTGAATGGATCACAAGTTCTCATGATCTCTATTGAATGAGACAAGAGTGAATTTGTCACCCAGGGTAACAAGTTTTGTCAATACACTGAGATTCTTAAACTAAAATGAAGAACTCCTCTTCCGAAGAAAACTTAATCTGTTGAGGACTTTCTCATTGCGTTTTATAATGTAGATATTGTGCTTTTCATATCCTTTCGTATCTGCCAATCATTGTTTCATACTGCCATTGGCTTGTAAATAAAATTAATAAATTAAAAAAAGTCAGAGTTTAATATCAAGTCACGGATTATCGTCATTGTTTAATGAGGCAAGACTGGAACCCTGGCCCATCAGAGTTTGGCACAAACAAAGTAAAAGTTTATTAAAGAAATGAAAATTTCCTCCCTGACTCCCGAGGGCAGTCGAGCGAGCTCCAGGAGAGGCCACGCCACCACCAACATGAGAGCCGTGTATCTGTGTTTTGTCTGGGAACGAGTGGACAGGCCGAATGGCCTCGACTAGGCTGCAAATATCTATGGTTCTCAGGTACCCCTGAAAACAAAATTACCCACAATTAATTAAAAGACAAAGGACAGACACAAATGGAGGCTGGTGACCAGACATCGTCCAATTTGAAATGATCCATTTGGAAAAGTGAGGAGGATAATCCTATCCTATCCCGTGGCCTTAATCCTCAGTTCTTTATTGCCTCTTCCTCCAAGGGATGCAGAAGCAGCACATCCTGTGGGTACCAAAGGAAATATTAGTGATTCCTGGAATATTAACAAGATCTCAGGACAGGTGCAGATCAAGAAGACCCTTCGGGCCATTTGATTTCATCTTTCAAACTCCTCATCACAGCATCCAGCTGTTTCTTCAACCAGCTGTGAGTCTCGGGGTGTAACACTCACCAGATTGGCATCCATCTCCTCAGCCTGGCTGCTCCAGGCCAGTACCATGTTGCAGAAGAAGTGTTTGGGGGTCATGCTGAAATTCAAAGCTGTGTTAAGTGAAATTCAAAGCAGTGTTGACTCCATATCTTCACTCAAAAGCTGTCATCTGTGTTTGCCTCTTAGTTCAGGGACATCTCCACACTCCCCAACCACTGTTCTGGATGTCTCAGTCGGAGCTGAATGCCAGGTGAGATGGATTTGGCATCCTCCCACTGACTGAGATTGTCTCTGTGCACATCCGGCAGCGCAGTCGGATCAGGATTTGCCACACGATGGCTGCCAGAGTGGGAATCCCAAGTAAAGTTGGAGTTTGATCCCTGTCTCCCAGTGGCTAATTCAGTGACTGACGTGAAGGCACTCAACGCGTGGGTAGAAGCTCTTAAATAATAATAATCCTTGAATTTGATATAGCGCCTTATCACATCATTGAGACGTCTCAAAAGCGCTTCACACAATATACTGTAAACTGGATCGATTGACCGTATAGTTTGTGGGCGAAACGCGGCAGCCAATTGCGCGCAGCAATTAATAATACCAACTCATGTAGACTTGGACAAGAGGCAAACCTGACATCACTTGTCTGGACGGAGACATCTCATTCAGAGTGTCTTCCCGCTGAAAGGAATGGATTGTCATTCATCCTGGATCACAGTCAGTCAGTCAGAGGCCCTCAACCAAGTCTCCTTCCCTGCCCTCCGCCGAGCCCATTCCAGTCTCTTTCTGCTCCTGGAAACTGTCTCCCACTGAGTCCCTGTCAGATGCCCTCTGGCCTTCCAACCTCTCTCTACTCCTCTGGCCCTCCAACCTTCTCCCTCTCTCCCTCTGTGGCCCTCCAACCTTCTCCCTCTGACGAGTCTGACGCCCTCGAGCCACTCACACACTCCCCCCCCCCCCCCACCCTCCTTGTGCGCATGCGCGGGACCGGGGGGGGGGGGGGACCTTCCCGAAGGACCAAGTGCGCACGCGCCAACGGTGGAAGGGGAGTGGGGGAGAAAAGGCGGGAACCGCCAAAGCTTTGACGCCACAGAACCGAGAGGAGGGGAGAGCTGGTAACGGGGGGGGAGAGGGGGGAGAGCCAGTAACGGGAGGGGGGGGGGAGAGAGGGGGGGGAGAGCCGGTAACGGGAGGGGGGGGGAGAGCCGGTAACGGGAGAAGGGGGGGGGAGAGCCGGTAACGGGAGAGGGGGGGAGAGCCGGTAACGGGAGGGGGGGGGAGAGCCGGTAACGGGAGGGGGGGGGGAGAGCCGGTAACGGGGAGGGGGGGGAGAGCCGGTAACGGGAGGGGGGGGGAGAGCCGGTAACGGGAGAGGGGGGGGAGAGCCGGTAACGGGAGGGGGGGGAGAGCCGGTAACGGGAGGGGGGGGGAGAGCCGGTAACGGGAGGGGGGGGAGAGCCGGTAGGGGGGGGGGGGAGAGCCGGTAACGGGAGAAGGGGGGGGAGAGCCGGTAACGGGGGGGGGGAGAGCCGGTAACGGGAGGGGGGGGGGAGAGCCGGTAACGGAGAGGGGGGGGGAGAGCCGGTAACGGGGGGGGGAGAGCCGGTAACGGGAGAGGGGGGGGAGAGCCAGTAACGGGAGAGGGGGGGGAGAGCCGGTAACGGGAGAGGGGGGGGAGAGCCGGTAACAGGAGGGGGGGGGGAGAGCCGGTAACGGGAGAGGGGGGGAGAGCCGGTAACAGGAGGGGGGGGGGAGAGCCGGTAACGGGGAAGGGGGGGGGAGAGCAGGTAACGGGAGAGGGGGGGAGAGCCGGTAACGGGAGGAGCTCGAGGCCTGGTAACACCGTCGGGGGAGTCGCGCTCGCGAGACGGTCTACAGCTCCTCTGTCCCTCTGCGGTGACACCAAACTCCAGCTCCCGACCGTGAGAGACTCCGCACTCCCTGCACACCGGTGCCACCCCGTGAGGCAAGCGCTGGGACAGATAAACACACGCCTTCCGGCACGTAAGGACGTAATCATTTGCTGGCGAAAGAAGACCGAGGTCCATCTCGTTGGCCTTCCACCATGACCCGGCAGTGGCTTGACATGCCGTGTCCCAAACTACGTACTGCGTCCTGTTATTATTTTCCAGCAGAAATCTTAACTGATTTGTTCTTGGAACGAATGACAATTTCTGCTTCCACCGTCTCTCGAGGGAGCCTGTTCCGTTAGTTAGTTCGCTGCTCGCTCACCGAGGTAGTGTTTCTGCAGATTTATTCTGAATTTACCCCCCCCCCCCCTTCAATTGCAGGCCCTGTCCTCTGGTTGTACTGCTCAGTGCAAGATAAAACAGCTTATCGTTGTCTACTACAGTATCTATTCCCTTCAGATTCTTAAAAACTGCAATCGTATCACCCCTCGACCTTCTCTTCTCTGCACACAGTATTCTAAGTGCGTTCGCACCAGTGATTTATAAAGTGGCAGGATTACCTCACTATTTTTGACTCAATATTGCCCTTTTAATACAGCTTCGCATCTGGTTTGCCTCACATCATTCCCAAGCCCATGATTCCAGGAAGCTCCACGAGAGCATGAATTTAGTTTTGGGGATAAATGAAGAGCTGCAAAAATGTGTGAATTTGATCCAATTGAAGGTCACTACATTGCGCCGCTGTTTGATCGCTGGTGAAATGAAGCGTTCAGAGGCTGGAATTACTGGTCGATCAGGAGCAGTGACGCTGACACTGTATCGAGATTTCCCCATTACACCGACGGGAATTCGAGCCTCAAGGGTGGAAAAGTAACGGAAACCTGATTGTGGAATAAGAATGATATCCTGCCCCAGAAGAGACACAGATAATGATGGATTGAGATTTAAAAAGGAGTCAGTGATGCTTGGCAAAACATGTTTTACCAGAGTCATGGCCGACTGGACTCCTGGTCCGGTGTGGAGAGACTTAAACCAGAGCTTGTGATGTGAGACTGCCATCAGCTCCGCTCTGACAGACTGCAGTTAGAGTCAATCTTCAGCATTGTTAGCAACGATCTTAAAGGTTGAGCCAAGAAGAATATGCTCCAACACCAACTGATGTTTCTGGTGTGATTCCAGGTGACGAGGCCGAGAAGAAGAGAGTGAATTGGTGAGTGTCTCTTCCCTTGCTCTGTTGTGTGTCAGTCACTGTCTTAGTGACACGTTCTGTAAAAATTTACATTCAGACCAAAAGATCATGTTAAAGCGTGGCCGTTCCTGTGATGTGTGCCGAAGGCTGTCAGTGTTGCTGAGAGTCTGTGAATCACAATCTTCCTTTCTCATTAGGAGGACCGGGAAAACGACAAAATAATGAGGGATATATTTGTGAATGTCCGTTCACAGCCCCAGGAGACTCTTATTTTTTTCTTTGTGATAGCAGGAAATACAGCAGCGGACACCAAAATGCCAATGATGATAATGAGTGGGAGGCAGGGGGGGTCTGGATAGGGCAGAGGAACGGGAAGTGGACATTTCCCAAATATCCTAGCTCCTCTCGCTCAAGGTCACGCCAGACTCCAGGCCTGCTCCTGACAGCGAGGAACTTACCCCGAGCACAGAGGTGTCACGTGCGGGCACTCAGACAGGTAAACAGCTAGGTCCACCCTACCTGTTTTCAGGGTTAACAGGAGCTGAATGGGCGGATTCCATTGTTCCCAATTGTACACTACTGTGACTGATTTTACAGCACTTTAGTCCTGTAACTTTACTCTCAATTTCCTTTCTCAGCTTGATACCTGATTGAAGGATTTTCTGGATGTGACACACATTACCTGAAAGACTAAATGTGACTTGACTGTCCTGTGGAGCTAGTTTCGGAGTTCCATCAGCCAACATTCTGCTGCAGAGACAGACCCTATATTCTCCCCCCATAGGTAAGAAAGTACAGTGCAAACAAAGGTGATCAATGTTGGAACTGTCTCCCGTGGAGACCTGCTGGTATAAGTTGTGATGTTTAGATTGCAGTTTCACTAAATTGGCTGGGGAGGGAGCCTGGGAAAAGTTTCACACATTTACGGTGTTTTGAATGGTTTACTTGTGTTTAGTCACTGCCCTCTGAAAGTCAAATCTGTAGCGTTGAACCATTGATGGGACAAATTATATGATCTGTGAAAAAATCCAAGGCTAGATCTCCTTGTTCCACATGGAGATTTTGGGCCAAATGTCCATGGTGATTGGTGGTGTTACTGGGAGCAGAAAGGTGTCTGAAAATTGTATTACTTCTAACTCCATGATGTCCCTGCACAGAGCAGTGAGAGACAGATGTCCATGTTGGAATTGGGAATACATTGGGTGCAGAGGCTTGAGTATGTTGCAGTGCTTTATGGCTTTAAAAAAAACTGCCATAACCATATTTATTGCTTGAATTTGGGTATAATTTAATTCGGTTTGTTCATATGGGAGTTCATACATATGTATATATTTTGTCCACAAAATATACAGTCACTACACAATATCATGCTCATCTGATGAAGAGCAGGAAGCTTTCACCCATTCCATGCGATGTAAGCACCGCTTTACTGAACTCTGCCAACAATATAGATAATAATAATAATCCTTGCATTAGATATAGTGCTTCATCACATCTTCATGCTTAAAAGGAAATCAGTTTTCCAAATTAAGACCAAGTTTAAGAATATTTTACCACTTCTTGTGATCTTAATTTTGAATACAAAATGGTTCTTGCATGCTGAGACTAGTTGGAATGTTGGATCTTTTAATTGTGATTCATACAACAATAATCCCAGTGAAAATGTTAGTGATCTGAGTATAAAGACAACATCCTTTCATCTCGGACTGAATGGATGAAACCAAGTGAAGTAGTGAAATTCCTCTCAGACCGCAAAGTGACTGGAGCATGAGCACTGTGTTACACAATCCTGCATTGCTACATTCCACAGCTGGCGTGCCTCAGGAGCCAGTGCACAGCATGCCTGGCCTATATCTTTACTCATTTATATGAGCTTCTTCTTAGCTCTGTATTTCTCTTGCGCTTTGCTGCAAGTGAGATTCCTTTTTGAAGGTGTTTTGCTCTTGGAGTGCCTCCAGCACAGGCTCTGCCCATGTTCTGTTGGTGTTGGGCTGAAGCACACCTTGGGCAGACACTGCCAACTAATTCTTTTCCAGTTCATGTTCACGAGCTTGGTTTGGATGAAGAAGGCTCTTCAGGCCATCTGATCTCATCATTCCCGAATGTCCACCCTACTGTCTTCCCATCACAGCATCAAGCTGTTTTTTTAAAATGAGTCCAACGTAGAGGCCTCAACCATTCTTCCTGGTAACCTGTTGTGATTGATAATTAACCTCTGGTTAAAGAAATAACCTGGTGTCGGTCCTGATATTGTCATTTGCAGCTCTAAACCTACATCGTCTTCTACTGTCTCTGCAACCAAAAGTATTTACAAAGAAAATACAGGCCACTGAGCCCAACCAGTCTGTGCCAGTCTTTATACCCTATATGAATTTTCAACTATTTCTTACTCCCTGCCATATCCTTTTCTTCCCTCCTCTTGGATGCATTTTGTTCTGTGCTAAATATTCTCAATTCCGTTTAATAACTGTACCTCTATAGTGTCCCCAGTGAAGTAACTTATTTTTGAAGTTGCTTTTTGTTAAGTTTCTTTTAAGAGCTTTCAGAAAATCAATAGCAAAGTTAAGATGGAATTCAACAATTTACCAATTTGTTGATATTCTAAAACCTACGTAAATAGAGTAAATCTAGACCTTGGTGAGATTTCTTGCACTGATCTCTAACATTAAAGTGTGGTCATCACTGTATCACACTGCACCACTTGTGGATTCAGAGTAACTTGAGCTAAATGGATAGGGAGAAAAACGAAACTAATCTGTAAAATTTGGGCATGGTAGCATGCACACCCAGCGATTGGTTTTCTGCTGATATGATTAACAATATTTTGTTAACTCCTTATGGTCTAAAAATGCAACTCACGAACAAAGCCTAAAATGAGACCAGAAATTTACAAAGTCCTTCAGTGGAACGGTTTGCAGCAACTAAATCCTGTAATTAAGCACTAAACGCTTTTAAGCTGATCCCTCTCACCTCAAGAGCGAGAAGGAGATAGATCAGTTCAGGCCAGCGTGAGACTCATTCTTAGAACAATTTGTGTTCTGAAGACTCAGCAGGAATTAGGATAGCAACTCGACAACCGTGACCTAACCCTGGCCTTTACCAACAAGTCTGTTATCCTGCTGATCAACAGTACCTAAGATTTGACCCCGGTACTGTTGATGCTGGCAATCTGATTACTGCAAATGGTTATTGAAGGTAAATGACTGTGGCAGCTGAACCCAAGGTCCCGGCTCTGCTGGGGCTTGAATTTAGTCTCTGTGTTAGAGGTTTGTAGACCTCCAGAAATTATCTATGGACTTTCAGGGTAGCACAGTACTGGCAGATATGCAGATGTGACTGGGTGAGTACTTTAATGATGACATAATAATCCTTAATATACTTTCATAATGACATAGACACAGCACAGCAGGCATGTCCTAATACAGATTTACGTAACTTTTAACTGAATGCTGCTTTTGATTTTCATTGTTTCGGTTCGACAGAAACGGAAAAGAACTTTCATTCCTATTGCTCCCTAGTGTGCTGAAAGGAGACTTTACAATAATTTACACTTGTAATTACAAAAACGACTGTTTTTGTAAGCAAATTTACAGCTATTTATACAATGTTATGAATTAAGGATATGCCTCGGGGTCAGACCACTATCACAGCAAGTAATAGCAAGCTTGTGTCACCAGAAGAAATGTGCGTCTGTAAAGCTTCTATGGTAATGTGAAGCCACGTGAATAACATTGGACAGTGATCACTGTCAACTCAAGATTTATGTTATGAAATTATTGACGTATTCTTTGTAGAAACACTTACAAACACAGATTAGGTTTTTGTTCATTAAAATATCTGGACGAAAGGCCAAGGATCCCAGTGCAAGTCACCACCAAAGGTAGTAGAGAAGAGGAGCTGCTGACATAACCCAAGAACCAATGGTTAGGGGAACACCAAACTTGGGATTTAAAAGCCTGTGGGTTGTGGGAGGAGGAGGCTGAGAAGGAGGTCAGTATGAAGAAGAATGAGTGAGTAGGAGTCAATGAACTCACTTTGATTTTCACACTAACATTGCAGATTATACATGGTAATCACTTGCTGCTCTCTGTTATTCTACATATCCTCTTCCCCTCCACCCCCTTCAAGTTTTCCATGCAGTTGCTATCTTGGAATGCACTGACTGACAGCTGTCCCGTGTCCAGTTGGGTTCCAACCAGAGAAGGTCATTAAAGGACAAGAGACTTTTTGATACTGATCCCTGAGTGGCGCTAACCAGGCAGTGACCCGTGTGCTGTGATGTGTAACATCAATGTGATGTCACATGTTAATCCATGTCCATGTTAATATGCTGCTGCACCATTAGTAATCTAACAAGCTTTAATCTTTAGTCCAAATACCTATCCCACGCAATGTCATGCTTATCTAACCAGTGACACAACGCAGGAGTTGAAGGTTAAGAAGATCATCAGCCCTCCTGGGCAGAATTTGGTCTTCTAAGAACTTCCGTCACATCTAATGGGATTTCTTTCATACCCCTAAATGTGTCATTCCTGTGACTAAAAGAGTGAAGAATGAGGCAGAGGAAAAATGCTGCCAATCAGACATTTTCAGCTAAAGAAAAAAGTGACTGCAGTGAAAATGAAGATGAAGGAAGCAGCAAAGCCACTTCGTCCAAAACCAAGGTGGATTGTGCAAAATATTCAAATCGTTGGGATCCGTACGAGACGACAACTAAACATGACTATGTTTACAGACCACTTTCGCGAACTAAGATGATGCATCCACACTATTCTAAAGGATATACTTACCCGTGTGTGCCTAGCAACATTGCCAATTTGTGTTGGCAACGATGTGGGCGCCTGCAGCCTGTGTACCCTCATTTGTTTGTGACTTACCCCAACAAGAATGCTAATGTGAACCTCAGTCAGCAACAGGTCAAAGCCGTGTCTGACCAACAATCCTACTGGAAGAAACCACCTCCCGAAGGCCTGGTGAAGAAAGCGATGGACATACTGTTCAGCAGCACATATCAGAGAGATTATCGGAAAAAGTCAGAGTATTTCAAGGGAAAAAACACTCTTCCTGAACTGTCTTGCAGTAAGAAGACGTGCTGTTTGCCCAAGCTGAAAAACAATTGTCAACTTAATGCTAGCCAGCTTCAGACAAGAATGATCCCCACTGTGAAGTATTCTCGATTCCACAGCAAGGACAATAGTCCTTTGACCACATATGAGCGAGACTTTGGCAACAGCTGCATAGAGATTTCACCAAGCGTAAACTCCTTGAAACAATCGGAAATTGAGAGATACCTACAGACTGTCAGTGGCAAAGAGAGGGAAGTGCTGGAAGAGTTTCTGGAAAATGTGACTGAAGCTTGTACCAGCAAAGTGATAGATCCTAGGGCTCGTGAGACCAGCCAATACTGCATCCACGATTCCGATCCCAGCCTTTCACCACCTCAGGGGTGAAATAGATCTCACTACTGCAGAGAACTCTTAGAAACGGAAAGGGGAAAGTGCTAACAAGGCCTGTTTCAATAATAAAACGGAAAAAGTCATGAGGCATATGTATATGCTGTGTTTGTTACACCACATTCTGAAATTTGTAGTCCAGTCACATTCCCACAAGGTACAGGTACACCAGAGAAAGTCACTAACACCGTACTGAGACTGATGATGCCAGGGAGCTGGAGAAGGTAATGTCAAAAGTATTATTGTCAGCTTGGCTCAATCGCAAGCACTCTTGTAGGCAAACACAGCAGCCAATTTGCATACAGCAATAGCCCACAAAACAGCCATTAGATCTTGGGCATAATTTCATGAGATCACGTCACTGGTGGTGGTGGGAATTGATTTAGGATTTCATTCAAAAGATAATAGACCTCGACAATGCAGTGCTCCCACTGTACTGTATTGGAATATCATGTTAGAGTGTGAGCTCAAGTCGTGATAGGTACTGACCCGTAATCTTTTGACCCGCAGGCAAAAGTGCTGCCCTGAGACCATGTTTATTTTGCAAAATAGCTGGTGATGTATAATAATAGTAATCTTTGCATTTGATATAGTACTTTATCACATTATCAAGGCGTCTCAAAGTGCTTCACAGGAATTATGGTAAAGTGTGATGGATTGTGCGAACATTAGGGTGACAAAGTGAAAAACACTTTCCTTTATGCATTTCTGCCTAGTTTGTAACGTGTGTCATACAATAGAGAAAACACTGACACAGGAGCAAAGACCAGCAGAGACCATGTCAGCATGATGTAACCATCAGCTGGAGACATCACAATCCTTTCAGTTCACTGTCAACCGCATAGTAACAACAACAACTTGCATTTATATATATCGCCTTTTACTCAGGATAGCGTCTTGGAACAATTTAACCACAATCTATTCATCTCTGAGGAAAGTCTCTGGTCAGGACCTTGGCTGTGAGAGCAAATCTACCCTGTGCCAGATTTAAAGGATCAAACAATCGGTAAGTGATGAGGTAGCTCCCTGGAATCAGGCCAGCCTCCTCAAGAGCAATGGAGTCACTAAACTGTATCAAAACTGAGGACAAAAGGAAGAATAGAGCAAAAGAGAAACAAGATTGCCCGAGAGGCTTAAAACACTTTGACCCACACGAGACCACAAACAGACACGATTATGTGGCTCATCCTTATTCCAGACCGACCATATTCCGAACCGGCTGCTTGACTGAGAGTAAGAGGAACAATCCCCACCCCAACAAAACCTTCATGATATACCATCTGCATCGCAAAGAACACGACAAGGACCACAAGATCGATGATTGTTGGGATAAACCACTGAGTGAGGATGAAGTGTTCAAGCGGCTCAGTGGGGATTACTGCACTATGTACCGGAAAGAATTCCCAGATAAGTTTAAAGATTTTGAGATGAAACCCATTATCCCCAGACCCCCTGACTGGAAGAAGGAAGTCCCACATCCCCTCATTTCTGAATTCCGGGATAAGTTTCGCTTACCGTACATAAACTGCGAGCTGATGGTTGATACCTCCCGATATGGAAGCAATGCCCACCGGGATTATCCTCCCAAAGGAATAACTCCAAATGTAACTTACGCTCATGTCAAAAACCAGGAGAAAAGGAAAAAGATGACCACCTACCAGACGGACTACAGCAACGTCTACGATGGACTCGCCTCAATCCTAAAAAACATGGAACCTGCCAGAATCAATGCCCACCTGTGCACGGTGTCTAAGAGGGACAAAGCTCTGCTGCAAAAGTTCCTCAAGAGTGTGGTCTCACCCTGTAAAACGAGGCCCACAGCATCCAGGATCTGCTAGTCCCCGTGGCAAGGACCAGGCAGAAAGCTGCTGGTGTCCAAGAATTCTCAGTTCATTAAAATGTTGCAGCTACTTTTTTTAAAAATGTGTTCACTTTGCTAAGAGCACACATTTCAGAGGTGCCCGAAATTTGGAATGATATTAAACTGAGGACTTGGCTCCCTCTTTTTGGATTGCCGTTAATGATATGAGAAAAGCGAAGGGAGTTTCTCCCGGTGTCCTGGACAACGATCGTAGATTAGTTGGTAATGCACTTTATTGTTGTTTGTGGGACACTGCTGTGCTCAAATAGCAGGAAAGTAAACAAAGTGTTAATTTAACAGCTGGTACCCACAGGGAATTGTATCCACCATTTACTGAACTGTTTAAGATGTTTAAGATGGCAGTTCAATGGGTGTTATAGTCCCTTGCACTAGAGAGGGGACAGATTGTGTCACAGTTCCAAGGTTCTTTGACCCACACAGATACATCTACAGCTAATTTCTCCTACATAGTCATTACACTTTACAGTAAATTCTATGAAGGACTTTGAGATATTTTGATGCTGTGATAAGACACTATCAAATGCAAAGACTATTATTTAAAAGGCTAGATCAATAGCTGGAGTCACGCGCCTCAGAATGTCACTCTCTGGTCACTCCCTGTTCACTGCTGTTCCCAGTAACTAGAAGCCATTTGCAGACTGGACCCTTGACAGATAAGGAGAAACAACTGCGATTCAAATTCTTGTCGTAAAACTGCTTTCATAGCAGGACGGTTTGGTGATGCCCCCAACACCCTCTGGCAGGGAATTAGTACAGACTTAACAGCTGTGGTTCCTTACAATTGAGTTCCCACTCTGAATCACCCACAAAACACACAGTCACTGCACTTTACATACGCTTTACAGTATATGCTGTGGAGCTCTTTGGGACGTCCTGGCATGAAAGTGCTAGACCAAATGTAAGGATTATTGTTATTCTTAAGGAGGAAGGAGAATTGTTGGGTCTGCCTGGTTGACAGGAGCAATGTCAGGTCCAAGGAATCCCCCACATTTCCTGCTCTTATGACCGGCCACAAGAAAGTGCAGCGTGGCCGAGGGATGTAATGCAACTCTTCCTCTATCTTTGGCCCACAAAATATACAGTCAATTCACTTTACTGCATATTTTGTGAAGCACCTGAGACGTCTCGAATATCTATTAAGGCGCGATATCAAATGCAAGGATGTTTATTATTATTATTGTTGTCACTCACTGTGAGAGTGAATTTGTTGGTGGATAAATGTGCAGGATTGTACCCAGTTAATATGATCCAACTGACATGTTACCAGCAACCTGCTAACCTGATTCTAACAAAGCTGATTGGACACACAGTATTTATTACTGCGTTCTACCTTGACTTGACTATGACGGAGGCAAGTCAAGGAGTTTGGGTTTATCCTTGGCACTGACAGCACCGTCCTCGATGTAGTGGCTTGCCGCCACCAAAAGCCCTTGAATTAGTGCCATCTGTCAGACAGACAGGTCTGCCTGTCCCGCCGACCTGCTCGGGGAAGTGAGACCGCAAACAGACACTTGCTGATTGTTTGGCTACAAGCCCTTTTCGGGGACTTGCCCAGGAGCTGTGACTCATTCAGTGATCTCATCACAGTTACCAGCCAGAGATAGAGAGAGACAGGGACAGAGTGGCTGACTTGTAGCAGCCTCAGCAAATATTCTGGCTTGTCTGGGAAACCATCTCACACTGGGAGAAGGAGACAGAGGAGAGGGGCAGAGAGATACACAGCCTCCTTCTACCCCACCCACATACACACACACACACACAGGCAGATTAACACACACGTTTATATATATATATATATATACATATATACCTTGGAGTGGGAGAGAGACATAGACAGGGAAGGGCGTGGGGCAGAGACCAGAATGATTTGCTGAGGCTGTGACTGGGATTCAGCTACACATTCGTTCCTTGGGCAGATGTGTGTGCCCAGTGCTGATCCCTGCACACTGCCCTGAGGACCTGGACCTGATTCCCAGGTGCTGCTGTTGGTCTGGGTTTTTCCTCCCTGTTCACTGCTGTCCCTTTGCTGGTTTCTGTGCTGTGTGTGAACCCAGTCAGGCGTTCCCTGCAGTATGTCCTTGCTTCGACCTCCCACCCTGTGTGTGTTTGTGTGTGTGTGGCTTCGGGCCACTCCCTCTCCACACAAGGTCATTGGCACCATGTGTAGCACAGGGCGGGGGCTGTGTGTGTAGGGAAGCCAATGGGAGACATAAGGTTGGTTATACCTGCCCAAAACTCATTAAAGGATAAGGCGGAAACCAGCTCACACATCAGTCCTGGGAGAGGGAGAGAGGGAGAGAGAGAGGAGTGGGGAAGGGAGACACACAAACAGGTATAGGAGGGGAAAGGACAGACAGACAGACACCTGCAACTCAACACACACACACACACACCTTGAAGTGGGAGAGAGACATAGACAGGGAAAGGAAGGAGGGATAGACAGGAATAAACACGCGAGAGAAGCGGAACACATAGTCAAGGCTCACAGGGCAGGGGAGAGAGTCACTGAGGGAAAGAGAGAGCACCCAATCCAAGGGAGTGACCGCGAACAACAACTTGCATTTATATAACGCCCTTCACGCAGGGTAGTGTCTCTTAAGTGCTTACGTACCCTGGGAACATGGTGCAGGGGGGCGAGGAGAAAGCTATCGCCTCTCGCCCTGGCCCAGTCACGGCAGCCACCACCACAGCAGGTGAGAGGAATGAGGAGGGGGAGCCGGCCTGACCGGGGTGGGGGCAAACCGGGGTGGGGGGGGGTGTGGGTGGGCGGGGAACGAGGAGCGTAATGTGCAGAGCTGGTGAGGATCACGCTTGGGAGACGGTCATTGTTTCTGTCCATGTCCGTGTGCAGTTTTCTGCTGAGGATTGAACACTGACATCTGGACTGGGATTACCATAAACAAGATTTTGGGACGTGCACAGTCGATAGGAAACTTGTCAAATGAGTTTTAAGACCTGATAACCTATTCTCCAGAGACTGCGGCCGAACCGGTATTGGGTCTCGGGTCGGTTGGTGATGGGGAGGGAGGGTGGGGAATGTGTTCCTGGGGCTGTGGCAGTGAGATTAAAGGACGTGGGGTGCCGTGTGGACTTTTCACGGCAGCTAATCTGCTCTACAGGAGCTGGGAGTGGCACTGGGTGGAGAGAGGAAGATTCTGCCCCCCGGCACACTCGGCTTTGCTATCTATCAGAAAAATGTTTCTTTTAAGCAGTGGTGCAGCTTGTCAGTGGAAGGCTGTGCAATGCTGCTCAAACTGAAGTTAAAACAGTTTTATTCTGAGGAGCATGGAGGCTGAACATTCTAGTTGCTCGCTGTAAGCTTCCGGCTCCTGGACCTACTGGTTGGGGGTGGATCACAGTTCTGTAGGTCGCGTCCCCTGGTTTCTCACCCAAGTAGATACTCTTTATGTGCGATATTTCGTGCTGCAGCCCTGTAGCGTATTGATTAGAGCACTCGCCTCGCAAATGTGAAGGCCCGAGTTTGATTCATGGGCAGGCCAAAACCTTAGGCAAGTTTCCTTATTCCACAAGCCTAGCAATAAGTAGCACGATGTGCCTCCAGTTACCTGGTTGTTAGTCGATTGGCGTTCTGAGGGTAATAAATAATAAAAAAAAATTTGTTCACTCAGTCCACAACTGTTTGTGGGACACTGCTGCGTGCAACTGGCTGCTAAGTTTTTCCCACACAGTACATTCTGTGAAGCACTTTAAGACGTCTCAACGATGTGATAAGGCGCTATATCAAGTGTAAGGATTATTATATTGTTATGGGACACCTAAGAAGGAATCGCTGTCACACTTTAATGGGGGAACGAAACCGGGTAATTGGAGGCACATCGCGCTGACCCACAGGAGCTCTGCTTAGGAGGGGACCTGCTGTGGGTCGATGGGAAGGAACACCATTAGTGAATAGCGTATTTTCTGGGCAGTGAGCGTGGGCTGGTGATTCAGCCGTGGGGGCATCGCTGCGGAGTCTGACTCTGCCCTTTTCCGATGTTAATTTGTGTTCCGTGGGCACCAGTGAGGCATCAGGAATGGGAACCCAGCTTATTGCAGTGGTACTTGTACCGACCTGGATGTGATCTGCTGACTCCTCACAGACTGGGAACAAACGCTTATGCAACTCTCTGACAAACCCCAGCCCCACTCAATGTTGTCACCAACACCTGTTCTGTGAAAGCAACGTGGAAGTCTCCTGTGGGTGCAGCAGAAGGTTCTGGAATTACAAGTTCGCTGTCATTAAGCTCCGGCGTGACTCCTGGACGATTGTCTGCACAGCTGCCAACACCATTTGACACAAAGTATTTCACACTCCACTCTTGGTCAAGTTCAGTGCCCTTTACTATAATAATAATAATCCTCGCACTCACTATAGTTCCTTCCACGTCGGGAAGGCTTCCAAAAGAGCTTCTCAGGACCTCCTGTGAAGTAAGGTGACCACACATGTATTTTAAGTGAACGCAGCAGCCAATCAAAGACAGCAATGTGCCATAAACAGCCATGAAGTGAATGAGCAATTTTATTTGGGGGCCTGTTGGCCAGAAAACAAGAAACTTGCTTCTCTTTTTAAGTCGTGTCCGGGATCTTTAACATCCACCTGAACAAGCGGATACGACTTCATTTCAACATCTGATCTCATCCGAAGGTCACCACCTCCGACAGTACAGCCACGGGACTGGTTGGAGTATCATCTTATACTATGTGAGTTCAAGCCCCCACACGGAGCTTGAACCCAAAACCTTTTTGGCTCAGAGGTGAGACTGCTACTAACTGAGCCAGGCTGACAGTTGTAAAGGAACAGATCTCTTATTGGTGTCATTTTAATATTTTCCATTCTACCTTTTGGGTTAAAGGCCCATTTGCTAAAATGCATCTTTGTTATTGCTTCCCTCCCAAGAAAGTTTGGAAGAAGTTGACTTGACACCTTACCGTCAATCCCTTTGAGGAATCTCAACAATGTGATAAGGGCACTATATCAAATGCAAGGATTATTATTATAAGATCCAATTGTCCTTCTCTCCTTGCCTTCAAAACCCTCTTAAAAATAACAGCTGCCTTTGGTCAACAGTTAACTTCTTGTTCTCCTTGTGTGGTGCTCATCATTATTTCTGTGAAGCACTTTCAGACGACGCCCTGTGTGACAAGTACTACATAAGTACAGATTAGAGTTGCCACCCTACGTGTCAGCTGCTGGTGGTCACTGTGGATGGCTTTCCGCATTGTCAGCTCCATGCTTCTGATGTACTCTCAAGAGTCACTTCCTAGCTTTTGAGCTGCACCCAGGGTGGGGTGAGGAGGCTCCTGTGAACCATGTTGCCTTGGGGAAGTTTCACTTGTGTCATTGGATCCCTGGGTTGTGTTTTGGCACTTGATACCAGGAGCTGAATTGGAAGAATCCCACGCATTTTCTACCATGTAGCTAGAGTGTACTGCGCTGTGACTAGGTGCTGGGAGCAATCAGCCTGGCTGAATGTGCACAGTCGTGTTGCTGCCTGTACTGCAGTGCGTCAGTATCGTGCTGGATGAAGAGCTGTCACACTCTTGGTGGGGCCATCAAGTTAGTTGCTGGCAAGAGACCAGGAACTTTCATTCAGTGCTCTCTGTCTTTGCTTCAGACTTTTAACGCCGGTTCTGCAGTGCTCCACGAATATAAAGATCCCTCAAAGAAGAGAGCCCGAGCCAACAATAATATAACAAGACTTTGCTATATGCAAATTGGCTGCTCCATTTACTTACAGTACATTTGAGTGAGACCTGTACACAAACAAGTGTTTACAGCCACCCACCCAAACAGTGTGAGAGGAGTGCCTCTGTTCTTGGCACCATTATGGAGGAAAAAGCTTTAGAAACCATGAAAATATGCCTCAAATGGGGGAGCGGGGGAATTGTTTGGGATGAAAACCTGAGGATGAAGCCAATGTGAAGCTTTAAATGGAGTGAACTGGTCATGTGACTCATATTGGATGCAGTGCCTAAAGCACCTCAAAGAACTTCACAGGGACAGATATTTGATGGTAGTCACGTTATAGTGACCGTAATTGATGGTAGTCACTTCATGGTGACTGTATTTTTAGGCAGCCAATTGCTCATAGTCAGGTCCCACAAACAACCATCAAGTGAATGATCAATATCAAGAGTATTGTTGACCAAGGCACTGAGAGTAACTCTCTTCCTTTTCAAATACCGTTGTGGGATCTTGAATATCCACCTGAATAAGAAGAATCGACCTTGGTTTTAACATCTCATCTGAAGAATGGCACCACTGACAATGCAGCACTCCTTCTGGATGACACTGGAGTATCAGCCTGGACCCGTGAACTCAAACACCCCAATGTATGACTTGAACCCACAACTGTCTGACCCAATGGCCCGAGTACGATAAACTGAGCCAAGTTGACACCTTGGATAAATAGTGACCCCCAAACTCTCATCAGGTGTGGGGAGGGAGAGGCGTTGGCAGGAGATGTGGAAGGGATGGTGTTGGGGACAATAAGGTGCTAAGCTCACGGTTGCTGGGCTCAGTTTGCTGAAGGTTGTGTTTGTGTGTTTGGTGCAGACTCGAAGGCTGAGCGAGTCGCATTGAATGGCAGGAAAAGGGAGGAGATTCCATCTGTGAATGGCCAGGTCATGAAGCCTGATGGTGAGGAAGTAATTCCTGATCAGGATCTACTGAACATCAAAATACAGGTGACGGGAAGTGATGCGTTTGACTTGCAGGTAAGTGTCGTCACCATAACCGTTGAAGCTCCTTTCGCATGGAGTTGGGTGAGGAAATGGTAATTGGTATGGCTGACCTTCAACCCCTGTGCTCCTTTGCAAGGTGTCCCCCCAGGAACTGGTGCAAGAGATTATCCAGGTGCTGATGGACAGAGAGGACACGTGTCATCGCACCTGCTTCTCGCTGCAGCACAGGGGCAACATCCTGGACAACTTCTCTGAGCTGAGCAGCGTGAAGGGGCTGGGGGACGGATCGGTCCTCAAAGTGGTGGAAGGTGAGGCCTCTGGAGTCTCCTTTACTGACAGCAACTTTAGTGGCCAAAGGATGAATTTATGTACCTTCCCTCTGGGGTTACAGCAGTTTGAAGATGAACTCATGTCCGTTCCGGCATAAAGTTCTTGCTATTTTTTTTCCCCCTCCCAGAGCCTTACACTGCGCGAGAAGCTCGGATTCACATCCGCCATATCAGGATCTGCTGAAGAGTCTGGATCTGGCTGATGCCTACAATGGCATGAACTGCAACTCCCTGTCCTTCCTCACTGAGGTCTCAGAGGGTGATGCTGCAGGTAGGAGCTGGATAGGTGCCCGGTAGCTTTGTGGTTAGAGCATTCGGCTGCCGTGTTTCGCCCAGAAAATATGCAGTTGATTTACTTTACATTACTTTAGATTCTGTGAAGCGCTTTGAGACATCTCAACAGTTTTATAAGGCGCTGTAGCAAACGCTAGGTTTATTATTATTGTTAAGAGAAGGAGGAGAAACGTTTCAACACAGTTTTTTCCAGGTGAATCAATTTCTGGGAACAATGGAAAGAAGAAAAGACGTTCAGTTTCGGATCAGATATTTGATGCCGTTGACTGTTCCCCACCAGAGTATATCCTACCGGGATCCAAGGATCGGCTTCTGTCCCCTCTTCAGCCACCAGTCCTGGATAACAAGGTGCATGACGAGGAATCCCCGGCCTGATGTGTGGCAATGAACCTTTGTAATGTCACTGTCTGCTTGGAATGTCTGGTTAGCATGGGTGGGGTGGGGATCAATGATATATGTGGAGGGACAGAGGGGCTGAACTTTCAGCCCTGGACTTGTGCTGGAAGCACCCAGTATCCCCTCAGTCTTTGTAAAGCGTATTGAGGCTTTCCCAACATGAATGCGCTGCTGCGTAAGTGTAAGTTGTTTTGATGTATCAGGAGCTATCAAATGGTCTCTTTCTAACTTCACTTTCTAGCAGGAAATCTGGAAACCTTCCCGGGCTCAGGTTAAGCGTGGCTCTTCTGAGTTTAATTAAAACATCACAATTCAGCCCAGTTTGTTTGAGATCAGGTGTCAGACTGACTACCCGGAGAAATAAACCAGTGTATGTGGTCGCTGGTTATGTGGCATTGATCAAAGTTTTGATCCAGTTATTTTACTGAATATGTTGATTCCCTTCACTGTGGGTGGCCTGGGGGGAGGGAGTAGGAGCACGAGTATAGGAGTGGGCAGGAGCTTGGGTTTCCCATGTCGGGCTCTCACTAACACATGTCTCTCTATAGTCTGTGCAGTGCCTGAAAGCTCTGATGCTAAGTGGTTGGAACCCTCCCCCTGGGAACCGCCGGATGCATGGGGACCTGATGTACTTGTACGTCATCACCATGGAGAAGCGGCATGTCAGCTTGACCGCCTCCACTCGTGGCTTCTACATCAACCAGTGAGTGACACCCACAGGCAGCACTGTGGGGGGGGGGCGCGCGTTGAGGGAGATTGAGGCTCCAGAATGGTTCAGAGAATGGTGTATTGGGGATCTGGGAAATTCTGTGGTTCGGACACGTTCTTATGGTTTAGACATTAGGGAAAATAACACTGTCTGACCATGGACCATTCACTCTGAGACCCTAAGTAAGTCCAGCACTCTCTGATTACCCTACCACCCCATGATCATCTCATCCCAGACACAGGGAGTTTTAATGTATAGGTGTATAGGTGGATCCCCGGTTTGTTCTGTGAGAGTTGCCCGGCTCATCAATTATGTCATTTAAGAAAGAACAAAAGAAGAACCTGAATTTTGTGAAAGTACAAAAGCCACTCTCTTGTTGCTTAGTGACTGAGCACAGAGACCACGCCCGAGGCTGGGAAACCTGAAAGATCCAACTGGCTTGTAGGTTTTTCAGCTAGTTTACCAGTGCCATGTGGTGTCTGGTCTTGTTGCCATGTTGTGCCGTGTGTCTGGTGTGTGCTGTGCCCCAAACAGATGTAGATTCCAACCTCAGTGATCAGCCTCTGGAAATAGTGCTATGCAGCAGGTAGCGATGAAAGCTGATAGCTGTAGGGCTCTCATTCCGGATCTCAGTGTAGAAGCTCCTCTCCTGCCTTTGTCCAGATCCACGATGGACGTGTTTAACCCGAAGCCGGCCAGCCCGAGCCTGCTGTGCCACTCGCTGGTGGAGCTGCTCAGCCAGATCAGCCCCGCCTTCAAAAAGAACTTCACAGCTTTGCAGAAGAAAAGGTAAGACTGGAGGCTTCCGGGGGACTGGTGGAGGCGGACGATGCTGGCCCGGCTGCGGTGCGTGGACGGGTGGGTGGGTGGGTGATTGAGGGATGTCAGGCTGAACCTGTGCTGATTGTGCTGTGCACCTTGCTGGCAGAGTGCAGTGCCACCCGCTGAAGCGGATCGCCACCCCCTACCAGCTGTACAGCTGGACCACACCCCACTCCGAGCACACCATCGACTGTGTGCGGGCAGAGGATGCCTTCACCTCCCGGCTCGGCTATGAGGAGCACATTCCCGGCCAGGTGAGGGGGCGTGGCGGCGCTGAGAGAGAATAAAATAAACCATTTGAAATAGTCGGGTGGGGGCCGGGTGCGAGGAGTGGGGTGACGGCGCGAGGGCGGGCGGGGGGGGGTGGTTCAGTGCGAGCGGCGATGACGTTGACACTGCTGTTACTTTTGTTCCCTGGCAGACGCGGGACTGGAATGAGGAGTTACAGACGACGCGAGAGTTGCCCCGTGAGGTTCTGACCCAGCGGCTGCAGAGGGAACGCGCCATGTTTAAGGTGTGGAATGGTAGTTACACCCCTCCCAATGAGCAGCCAGTCAATCAGTGTTGTCAGCCTGAGGAAGGGAGGGAGGGAGGCTATTGTGTTTGGCCTAGAAATGCAATCACTACACAAAACAGTAGTTGGTGACCCTGTGTTGCAGGTGAACAGTGACTTTGTTGCTGCCGCCACGCGGGGAGCGATGGCCATCATCGATGGGAACGTCATGGCCATCAACCCGGGCGAGGAGGTCAAGATGCAGATGTTCATCTGGAACAGCATCTTCTTCAGTCTGGGCTTTGACGTGCGTGACCACTACAAGGACTTCGGCGGCGATTGTGCCGCGTACGTAGCCTCGGGCCATGATCTGAAGGGGGTGCGAGCGTTCAGCTTGGAGGACACCTCGGGTCTGTACACGCTGGGCACCGTGGTGCTGGATTACCGGGGATACCGGGTCACGGCACAGTCCATCATCCCGGGAATTCTGGAACGGGAGCAGGAGCAAAGTGTGGTGTATGGATCCGTAGACTTCGGGAAGACAGTGATGTCCAACCATCAGTACGTGGACTTGCTGTTGAAGAGCGCCAAGGCGCTGTGTGTCCAGAAACACCTGGTGCTGAACGAACACGACCAGCCCGTGCTCCTCTGCTCCTCGGTCGAGTGTAAAGGGATTGTGGGAAACGACGGCCGCTTCTACATCCTGGACTTGCTCCGCACTTTCCCGCCTGACCTGAACTTCCTGCCCGTGGAGGGCGAGGAGATGCCGGAGGAGTGCCGGAGATGGGGCTTCCCCAGGCAGTACCGACACAAGCTGTGCAGCTTCCGGCCGGAGCTGCTCGAGAGATTCGTCCAACACAAGTAAGGACGGCGACCTGAGAACATCACAGCCGGTGTGCAAAGGAGTAGGGAAAGGGTTACATAAACAGCTACTCGGTGGAGTCCCGTAGTTCAGTGGTTAGCGCGCTCACTGCACAAACGAGAGGACCCGGGTTCAATTCCCGGGTGGGGTGAAACCTAAACCAAGTTTCCTTAACTCCACACGCTTCTACAGTAAGCCTATGCCCCCTCCCTTGTGAGGTTGCTGCCTATGCTCCCCCTCCCCCCAGTTTCCCGGTCATCACCTGTAGCATTTCGCTTCTGTGTCTCGTGCTTTAGATACACACTTTTTACGAAACTGGTGAAGGAGAAAATGAAGGAAAGTGATTCGATGCAGAACGGCCAGGAGGAGGGGGACAGCGAGACTGATGGTAAGGTGTGGGGGGGGTTGTTGTGGTGTTTGGGAGTTGTGTTGTGGGGAGGGGGTTATGGAGCGTATCTGTGTGTGTGTGTTAGGATGTGCGGGTCTGGATCAGATATCAACCAAACAAATTCCAATTGGCAGAATGTTGGAATCTGGGATCATGAACAGTCGGACACTGTAGAATTGTGTTGAATTCTGAACAAGAGAACAACAGGTGGTGGCGGGGGGGGAGGAGGGAAGAGAAGGGTTTGGATGAGTAAAACCACAAAAGTCTCTGCTCTCTGCCAGTGAGTGTGTGGGGTTTAGCTGTGTGTGTGAGGGGCGGAGGTTGTGGTGTGTGCGTGTGGACGACTCGGTGTGCTAGTGTTTGTGATGTGATGGAGCACGGTGACTGCCCGCTGGGCCTTATTTATAAATCATTTTTGTTCTTTCACGTGATGCAGAGAAATGCAGTGCACTGAAGGCAGCGTGTCGTGCTGTGGGCTCCGTCAATGACGTTGTCTTTGACATTCGCTTCAACCCCAACATGTATTCCTCAGGTAACAAGGCAGCAGGCAGTGGGGATATGACAAAGCGCTGTGTCAAACTCCAGGATTAACAGATAAACAGATCATCTAAGTCTCTGCTGCCCACATCTGCACCTGTACAGAACTCCGCAAACTCATCACCTACAGTCCTGTCAGTCTCTCAGCGGAGAAAAATCCTCACCCTCGCCTACAATTCCATTCACCACCCTACCTCCTTCTCTCGTCCCCTCCGCTCAGCTTACTCAAATCGAACAAGACTATGCAATGGCTCCATGAGGCATAATGTGTAGATTGATGCAGTCAGTACGTGAGGTCAGAAGGTGCTGATGTGAACCAAGCAGGAAAGCTATTTTGGAGACATTCAACTGGAGAAAGTTAGAGCTCATCCAGGAAGTGATGTCCGACAATCGGCAATTAGTCAGAACAGCAGTGGTCCTGGAATTGAGGGTATGGAAGAGAGATAGAGTTGGGTGTCAACTGCATGCATGTGGGAGTTAATCCCATACCATAAAGGGGAGTTTAGAGACATTAAGGAGGAAACTTTTAGGGGAATGTGTGGGACCCGGAGCTGGGCCGACTAATCCACTTTACTCGGGGCTGGTGCAATGGGTGTCAGTGACAGACATGTACAGACAAGCTCTGAATTTAGGAACGTGCAGAACTTTTGTACGTTGCTAAATTCGCTCTTGATTCGAAAGCTCTTTTCCGGCAGTCACTGTCCCAAGTGACTGTCCTTCACGTGTGAGCTTGGACAGCGATTGTTGGCAGATACAGCACTTGAGCCCTGGAAGGTGGTTAAGGGGCGAGTTCCAACGGTGTCTGTCCTTGCACCATCTGGTCACGCCAATGTTCCAGATCTTAATAGGAATTTGTGAAATAACATCAAGACTGAATTTGGTGCGGTGTGGGTGCTGAAGGCAGGTGTGTGGGCTGGTGCCATGGGAATGTGTGGTGCTGGTGTAGCGGGGCTGTAACCGAACGGGATTTGTTTGCAGGTGTGAGATTCCACGAGTTGGAGAACGAGGCGATTGTGATCCAGAAGCGTTTGCTCAGAGACGCTGCAGCCTTCCTGGTGGCAGAGCAGATCCCCAGCTTCGTACGTCATTGTTTGTTTTTTTGTGAACTCGGCGGGGGAGGGTGGGGGGGTGTGGGCAAGGCTGTGCGTGTGTGTGGGGGGGGGAGGGGAGGTGTTGCCTGGTGGGGTGGATCGCCAGTGTACCACGCGGTGGGGTGGGGGCCAGGGCAAGGGCTGACTCACCAAAAGAGAATGAAGTCGAGAACTGGAGAGAGAGAGAATGAGGTTTTAATGTGTAAAGTAGGGTCTGAGCTCTCTTCCCCGATCTCCAGATCACAGACTGCCTGAGGCACAAGGTTGTGCCGGCCGACGGAGTGACCATGACGGACGCCTTACACCGGCGCGGGATCAATATCCGATACATCGGCACCATAGCGCAGCTGGTCAGTCAATCAGAGGAGAGGCAACGACTGGATCACATTATGGTGAGTCGTGTGGGTACTGGCCCCGGCTGGGCTTTGTTATTATTGCCCGCACACCTCGAGTTTCCGGTTTGAACCTTTGAGCAGATTTCCATATGCTGAAACGCTGAACGTTTGTTGTCTGTCGACAGAGGCTGCTGGTCAGTGAGGTCATCACCCGGGCTGCCACTCACATCCTCACCACCTACCTCCAGGTAACCTCTCTTCCCCTTGCGTTACCCCCCCACCCACCGCACCCCAAACCTCAAGTTGGGACTTTGAGCTCATATCATAGTCAAGGTTGGCATTCCAGCGCAACGCTGGGGGAGCGTTGTATTGTCTGAGGTGCCATCCTTTAGATGAGATACAAAATCGAGGTCTGAAATGCTTGGTCAAGTCTTAAAAATGTAATGAGCTACAGCAAACGTAAGGATTATTACTAGATTCTCTCGCCAAGCAGGCAGAGGTAGGACAGTGCCACATGGTGGTGGGCTATAGCATTGTGGCTGTTGTCTCCATGTTGGAAGGATTTTGTTTTCTCTTTCCCCAGGGCGTGGAGATGTCAGGGCTGTCATCTGCGGTCAGTCGCTTCCTGAACTGTCTGCTCAGCTCCTACCCCAATCCCGTCGCCCACTTGCCCCCCGATGAACTTGTGTCTCGCAGGAAAAAGAGCAAGCGGAAGCTGCGGAGCCCTGGGGCGGTTGACACAGCTTGGAGCAGCCTGGCGCCCTGTGAGCTGTGGAGGCACATAAACAGCGAGGCCAGTGAGTGCTTCAACTACACACTGGCATGGTAGGTCCTGGCTCGAGTCACATTTTCCCTTGGTTTTCCACCGCCCCCCGTCCCCCCATGCCCTTACACGTATCCTCCACCCTTTTCATCACCCACTCTGAACCTCCAACAACAACAACTTGCACTTATATAGCGCCTTCCAAGCACTTGGTCACGGCACTGTGAAAGGCACATTTTCCTGTGAGGCACAGAGATTCTAGTGGAGTGTTGAGTGGGGCACTCCCATTGCTTTTGGTGCCGTCTGAATGAGACATCAAACTTCGGTCCTGTCCACCTATTTGGGTGGACGTTAAAGTTCACATGGTGCTATTTGAAAAGAGAAGGGAATTTAACAATGTCTTGGCCAGCAGTACTTCTCATAAAATTAATCATTCATTTCATGGCTGATTGTAGGACTACACTTTTGACAATTGTCTGCGAAGCCTTTTCAACACTGTAGGGGTTGCTTCAAATACAAGGCTTATTTCCCTTTCTCTGCTGCCTGCTGATGATGATGTTGGTGTTTCAGTGATGGGATCGATCAGGCTGTTGAGCGGTTCGGATTCCAGAAGGTGTCTCTTCTCCGGGAATTCTGTATTAAGGCTGGAATCCAGGTGCTGCCCTTCAGAACACAAACACAGAGATGCACAGATATAAACAAACATATGCACTCGCGTACACACACAGCGGGCACAGACACACATGCGCACACATGCCCACACAGCGGAACATATAATATATATATACACGCGCGCACATACACACACACACACACACACATACACTAGCAGAAACATGCTGGCAGAAAACAGACACGTATTTGCACACAGTTACAACAACCAGGGCAGAAATGTGCATATGCACACACAAATACACACACACCGAAATGCAGAAACGTGCACACCACGCAGCCATTTGCTGCTGTCCATTCCTTGCTCATTCCTCTCTTGGAAACCTTCAGATTCTGCTGCGAGACTACAGCTTTGACAGCCGCCACAAGCCAACCTTCACAGAGGAAGACGTCCTTAACATCTTCCCCGTGGCCAAGCACGTCAGCGTGAGGGCCACGGATGGCGAGCGCATTTATCAGAGCGCAAAAGAGAAGGTGGAGAAAGGTGGGTAACCTCCCGTGAGCAGGGTGTCAGAGACGGGCTGCTCCCAGCCAGTGTCAACCCAGTGATTGAGGAGCTCGTATGGCTCAGTTACACCTCCCGAGTTCACCTATTTTAGACCATGTCTGGGAAAGCAGTTTGTGGGACATTGCTGTGCTCAAACCGGCTGCTGCATTCACCTGTAAAATACCAGTCACTACACTTCACAGTAAATACTATGAAGAGCTTTGAGATGTTCTCCCAACATGAAAGGCACTGTATCAAATGCAAGTCTTGTAATTATTAGTAATATAATTAGTCATATGTTTATTATTATAATTAGTCGTATATTTATTATAATTAGTAGTATATTTATTATAATTAGTAGTATATTATTGTAATAAGTATATTTATTATAATTAGTATATTATAATTAGTATATTTATTATAATTAGTAGTATATTTATTATAATTAGTAGTATATTTATTATAATCCTGACCACTTGTGGTTTTGTTCTTACAACTTACATTTATATAGCGCCTCTCACATTGGAGCAGCCTCCCAGAGCTTGTTCCCTCACACACTGACCGCAAGCGTTTCTCTGTTTACAGGCAATCTCACAGAAGGCTTTGAGCTGCTGACTGAAGCTTTGAATCAGTTTAACAATGTGTACGGAGCCATGCACCCGGACATGTGTGATGCTCTACACCTACTCGCCCGGCTCCGCTACCTGAAGGGAGACGTTTCCGAGGTGAGGCCTCGCCTGAGACACTGGGTAGCTTGGAGTGTCTAGGTCTCCCTGACGAATGACCGCGACAGATTCTTAACTTCCCCTCCCCGAGAGTCTTGCTCAGCAGCCCAGGCCGCCTGTTACACGAGTTCTGTGTGTCGATTCCATGTATTGAGGGAAATGTTTGTACTGTTTAGGATTTGATGGCCTCTCCACACACACATACACACATCTCCCCAAAAACCTTGATAGCTGCTTCTCCGTAGGAAGCGAATCTCTGTGCTGTATATTGTGCTGTACAAACCTTTGCTCTTGTGTCTACACAGGCTGTGAACCACCAACAGAAAACTGTGATCATGAGCGAGCGAACCCGGGGCTTTGACCATCCAAGGACCACCCAGGAATACGTGAGTCTCTCCCACTCTCATTCCGTTCTTACATTCCAAGTTTTCCGGTTCATCCCTCGCGTATAAACACTCGTGTCAGTGGGATCGGTTTGTCTGGTCGACTCGGTTAATCCGTCCATCACTGAGGTCTTGTGTTCCGTTGCTCAGTCACTGCTGACCACGCTCCTCTCTTCACAGATCAGCCTGGCTCTGTACTCCTTCGCCAACAGCCAGGTGTGTGTGGCTCTCAAGCTGCTGTACCGTGCTCGCTACCTGACGCTCACCGTGAGTGGAGAGGACCACCCTGCCATGGCAGTGCTGGATGTAAGTGTTTAACTGTTGGCTTTAAATGTATGTGTGGACAGGGTGGGGCGTCAGGATGTGTGTGTGCGCGCATGTGTCTGTGCATTGTGTATGTGTGTGTGTACATGGGGAGATCTTTGCAGTATGTTTGTGCATGTGAAAACTGTTTGTGGTGTCAGTGGGTGTTTCGCTGTCTGACTTCTGGAGGAAGATCTAATTCACTATGTCTTGTGCCCACAGAGCAGCATCGGGCTGGTACTGCAGGCTGTGCTGGAGTGTGATCTCGCTCTTCGGTTCCTGCAGAAAGCTCTCGAGATAAACCTCAAGTATTTCGGGCTCCAGTCGCTGCAGACTGCGCTCAGGTACCATCGTCAACCTCCCCTCCTCCCCCACCTTCTTCAAAACCCCTCCCTTCCCCCCGACTGTCACCCCTCCCTCCAGGTGCTGCAGTCTGTACTCTCAGGCCGTGTAGTGTAGTCTGTGGATTGTGTTTTACAGCCAATCAGTTGGATTCTGCTTCTGTCTAATGAGTTTTCTCTTGCACTGACCAGCTACCACCTCCTGGCTCAGGTGTGCGCCAGCAAAGCCGAGTTCCGCACAGCTATGCAGCACGAGAAGGAGACATACACCATCTACCGAGCCCAGGTCTGTGGAAGGGTAGACCGTCCAATATTTAATGGGAACTTGTATTTATGTAGTACCCCTCAAGCAGTGTAGCTTTAAGTGCTCTGGGACGCTACGCCACGTGGGGGGACGTTGTATAAATACAAGTTGTTGTTGACCGAACGCATCCGTTTCCTTGCAAACCAGCTCGGTGAGAGTCACCAGCAGACCAGAGTGAGCTCCGAGTTCCTGAAACACGTCACCCAGCAAGCAGTGAACCTACAGAGAACCATGAATGAGATCTACCAGAATGGTTCCGGCTCCAACACCAACACCAACCTCCCGCTGGTGCAGGTCAGTGTCAGAGCGAGGGCTGGCTACTCAGTGTTCTGTTCACAGAAGCGGCTGTACAGAGAGAAATCCTGGCTCCTCCAGCGACCGGGTTTCAGACACCCACATCACAGACTCTTGTCTAATTTGCTGCTTGTAGTTTCCAGTCGTCAGAGGTTAAACCAGAGGAGCAGAATGTGAGTAAAGGCATGAGCTCTTCACAGCCACATTGGCTCTTCGTTTTACATATCTTCACCCGGATAAAGACTGGATTGCATTTCAGGACTTGAGTGTTGAGCCTCATTAAGCGGAACGGAAACCTGAACCTTGGTTGTTATCGTGTGCACGGGGTAGGGGTAAAAGAGGGTCACAGTGATATTTTGGTGTTTGGAGTATTGGCTGCTGGCGCATTGTGTGTCACTAACACTCCATGGTTTGCTTTGCAGATCACCCCCCCGAGTATTGACACAATGCTGGAGCAGCTAAACACCATCAATGGAGTTTCCATCCTTCCCGTCAGGTAACCCTGCCCCAGAATATACCCCAAACCCTTCGCTGTAAACCTCTCTGATATTTGTGGAGTCCTGTAGTGGTTAGAGCACTCGCCTCGCAAACGAGAGGACACAGATTCGACTCCCGGGCAGGGTGTAACCTTGGGCAAGTTTCCTTACTCCACAAGCTTCTGTTTACCTAGCAGTAAGTAGGAACCTAGTTGTTCGTCAATTGGCAGATCGCTTTACCGGGATAATAATCCCTTCAAAATAAATAATTTGGTCACTCAATCCGCGATTGTTTGTGGGACAATGCTGTGCGCAATTGACTGCAGAGTTTCACCCCCAAAATAGTCAGTTAACTTTACAGTATATTCTCTATTCAGTATATTCGCTTTGAGACGTCTCAACATAAGACGCTATACCAAATGCAAGGATTATTATTCTATACCCCTCACTGTAACTCCAGGGAGAGAGTGCGCATCCCATCCCAATACACAGGTTTGTCAGTTTGCGAAATCCCTCCTTTGGCTGCTGATCTCACTGCTCTATTGTGTGTTTCAGTGATCCTGAAGCAGAAAGAAAATTCCAGTTGGAGAAAACGGCGCAGAGGATAAAACAGCTGATTCGGGCCGAGGCCGAGATGACCCAGCGACTGAAGGCTGCGGGTGCTAGTGGGACGAGCAGCTCGACAATGATCACGCAGATTGCAGCTCTGAGGGAGCTTGCTAATGGCACCAAAGCCCTCACTGAAAACCAGCCTTCAGCTGGCGGAGAGACCGGGGACGTAGCCAGTAGTGAGAGTGTGACTGGGAGCGTGGCCGTGAATGAGGCTATGGCTGGAGGCGTGGCCATGAGTGAGGGTGTGGTTGGGAGTGAGAGTGTGACTGGAGGCGTGGCTGTGAGTGAAGGTGTGGCTGTGAATGAGGGTGTGGCTGGAGGTGTGGCCGTGAGTGAGAGTGTGGCTGTGAGTGAGGGTTTGGCTGTAGGCATGGCCATAAGTAAGAGTGTGGCTGTGAGTGAGGGTGTGGCTGGTGGTGTGGCCATAAGTGAGGGTGTGGCTGGAGGTGTGGCTGTGAGTGAGGGTGTGGTTGGAGGTGTGGCCATGGGTGAGGGTGTGGCTGGAGGTGTGGCTGTGTGTGAGGGTGTGGCTGGAGGCGTGGCCATAAGTAAGGGTGTGGCTGTGAGTGAGGGTGTGGCTGGAGATGTGGCCATACGTGAGGGTGTGGCTGTGAGTGAGGGTGTGGCTGGAGATGTGGCCATACGTGAGGGTGTGGCTGGAGGTGTGGCAGTGAGTGAGGGTGTGGCTGTAGGTGTGGCTGAGAGCAAAGTTGAGTTGGGACAGAATGCTCTGTAACTTGGTGGCTTTAATTCTGAATGTGCTGCAATGGCTTCTGACAACACTTCATTGTTTGGAGAGTGGTTGAATTTGTATTGTGTGGGGTAACTAAGTGTTGACTTGACCTGGGTCTGGCAAGGGTGGCTTTTCTACTGTTGGAGGGAAAGGGGCAGATCCCTTCCCCTCTAGGTCTGTGCTTAGGTCGGGGTTGGCACATATTCCTCCCTATAACCCTCCACTGGGACCTGGCCTAACAAACAGCCCGTTGCTGACACCATTCGACCTCCATTAATTGTACCTTAATGTTTACAACTCGATGCTCTTATTTAGTTTCCAATTTGAAATGGTCGTGAGCTTTGGGTTATTTTACACTCACACACGCGCTTCACTGTAACATTCAAAAAACCTCACATTGTAACACTCAACAACTTGCATTTACGTAAAGGTAGTGTCTCAGAGCACTCCCACATACCCTTCCCTCACTGCCTTGTTTGCAGCTCCCTCACTGGTACAGCAACTGTATATAAGACACTAGTTTTCCTCACTCTCACTAGATAGTGATTCTCACATCTCACTGTTTGGTGTCAGTCTCGTGAGTGAACAAATGGAATCGTGCAGGCACGAGGAATCCCCATTTTTCACCTCATATTCCACCTGTTGTACCGGACCGGAGTCTGAGGCAGGGCAGGGAGGAGGCCTCCTCAAAACCTCACTCTTTCCACACCCTTTCCCGCTTGGAACTTTTTTTTTTCCGATTTATACCTTTTTTTGTAATGAAACTTTTATCCTGGTGATTGTTTCACTGGGTCATGATTGGGTCAAGCGCTCTGGGACGCTACCCTGCATGAGGCGCTGTTACGAATGGAAGTTGTTGTTGAGTTCTCTGTCTTCAAGGTTAAAAGCTGGTGAACAGCCAGATACTGAAGCTGTGAGTTGCTGGATCCCTGTCCCCCCACCATGACAAAAACAAGCAAGAGGATGGGGAAATTCAGCAAATGTGTGTGGAGTGAGTATTGACCTGCCTGCAGTCTGCCTCCGCTCAACAAACCACCCTTCTTCCTCTGCACTGGAAACTTTACTGTCCAAAACCTGCCACCAAGGCCGTGCTTACTGATGGCTGAGGGAGAGATCAGAAGCTACTATGAGACACTGGTGCAGGCTCACATCCCTTTGATTTACCCCCATCTAAACAAACACATCTTATTGCTCGGTCCTGACTGAACAAATGTACAAAAGTCCAACCGAATCATGTTTTCAAACTGGTTTTATTTTTCTGCGACTGTCCTCTTGCTGTGGCTGCAGGTTCTATAAGCCCAAGTGTGACTTTAGTTGTTTGTATCGAAAGTTTTCTCTGGAAGTTGTTTTTAACGCAGTATTGTATGGGTAATGGGTGTTCCTTTAATAAAAGGTGACAAACTGTCCAAATGCAGTCAATTCACTTTACAGTATAACCTGTGACACATCTCAAAGATGTGATAAGGCGTTACAGCAAATGCAAGATTATCATCATCAGCAATCTTCACTTCCTCAAACCCTGCAAAACCAGCCGCTCCCACAGCTTAACATCCAGGAGGATCCTCTGTGCAGCGGGTGGTGATCCCAAACCACGAGACACCCTCCGCTCCCTGTGTGTGTGAAAGGCTGAACCCAGCAGACACCCACACTGAACTTATTTAACTCCACTCTGGTCCGTCTCTGTGATCACGAGGTTCCGAATTATTTCCAGGTCCTCACACTCCTGGTACGTGGGTTCGGCAGGAACATCCCAGAATACTGGAGGTTTCACATTCAGTTTGTCCCTGGGAAAGTGATGAAGGGAAGTGTCGTTGAAGACATCCATGTACCTGGAGCTGGCAGGTAGAGCGCATTCTTCAGTTATGTCCAAAATCTGACAAGTGGGGGTTAAGAGTTTAATTCCCAAGTACCCACAATGTACAGAAATAGTCACATTGCAACACCCAAAGCAGGCAACACAGCATTTACCCAACCTTAACTGAAGATTTGCCCTGATGTGTGTGTGTGTAAATATATATATATATATATAATACACATATCTATACATATCCACCCTGGTTTGTACTGACTTTGGAGATGGATATGCTGCTGTTTTAAGTGCTCTAAGACCCTACCCACAAGCACTCTATAAATACAAATTGTTGTTGCCGAAATGAGGTGAGAGGAACGGAACAGAAGAGGTTTCTGTTCCCAATCCAGCTGGAATGTGCAAGATCGTTTATACTCTCAACTGCCAACTCTCCCTAAACTTAATGGTAATATTTCTCATCTCAATAGTTTTCTCTCACTTCACTGAAGGATACGTGTGCGATGCAGGTGTACTCGCTCTGCAGTGTCCGAGATGGCAATCTGTAAAACACAAACCCACGTCTGAGAAGAACGGTTGCCCCAAACGCACACCTACAAACCTGCAACAACATCCCCTGGGATTGACCGGAGCTGCTGCTCCTCTTACCTCTCTTCAATCCCTTTAAAACTGTTTCCAATCAGTGTGATCTGCGCCAACCGCCCTGGCGACCAGTTTCTCCACAGCAAGTTGTTGTACAGAGCTTTACCACAGTGAATCATGTAGAAGAGTGTGGGTCTGTCCACAGCTCGCTTCCCCTCCTGGTGAAACAAAAACTCCAGTAACCACAAGAAACTGAGCCAAGCTTCAGATCAGCTCACAGGTGAACAAGGGCATCACACAAAGGTAGAGGGACGGTTTCCTAAGACACTTACTCTGCTTTCAACAGTTCTTCCCAAATCCCTTTGCTTCATTTCTCCCTCTCTCTCACTTCAGGTCACTCTTATCTCTGACTGTGTCTATGGTAAATGTGCTCAAACTTTCCCTGTTTCATTCCTATTGTCATAAAGTGGTTCATCCTCAGTGAGACACTGTATAAGAGCAAGTGCTGACTATTGGGAACAAACTGCAGCTGGTCTCCCGAAGGAATAAACAAACTCCCGTCACCGAACTCTCACCTCGTTGTCTTTCAGCACTGTCATCCCGAGCTCCCTCAGGAATTCTCTCTCCCACTCACTGAACAAAGGATCAAAGAGAAGGCAGCGAGCTCTGGGGACCTGTCATACAGGAAAGTGCTGTTCAAAACTCAGTGTTTTCCAAACAAAACTACGACGACAGGAAGTGATGGGGTCAGATGGAGGAGCTCAGCACAGCCCAGCGTTCCTGTCAACAGCGGTCACCGAGCTTTATTGTGTTTGAAGAGATTGGTGCCCACCCCCGCACGCAGACTTGACGGCTGAATGGCTTGTTTCTGTCCTGTGGATTAGGGAGGTCAAGAGTACTTCATCAGGTTTCGGTCTTGTACTGGTCTGTATAAGACCTAAACGAGTACATCTTTCAGCTACAATGCGATGTGAGGCTTTTTGTTCTTGAAAGGGAATAACATGTTAACACTAACCCTTTATGGAGTGTTTCTACGGAGTGAGTGAGAACGGGGGCCCACTGCTGCAGCGTTGGTGATTTGACACCAGTGCCCTCCAGCGGTTGGGGGGGGTGGGGGGGGGGGGGGTTACCCACAGTGTGACAGAAACAAGCCATTCAAGTCCAGGTGAACCACTTAGTGCAATGCCACTCTCCTGCTTACTGCTTTGACGTCTCTCCTTTTCGACAATCTAATTCCCCTTCAAAAAAGAATTTCCGTTGCTTCCATGCAACATTTGCTGTCACAGGCCCGGTGCGAACGATGGTGTTTTGTCCTGAGTGCTCTCACCTGTAAGGACTCCAGGAGCAGGAGGAGCAGAGCGAGCTGATAGCGAGAGGTCACCGAGGTAGAGAAGTTTCCGATTCCGTAACACACGCAGTCCAGTGGGTCTCCCCCAGGCTCCACACTGTCCGTCTCCACATCCTGCGGCACAGGACAGACCAGGTGTGCGACTCCCCCACCAGCCTCAGGGCAGGGCCTGCTGCTCTCCAACCCGCCGAGATTCTCCCTCAAGCTTCTGCCGATGGTTTCTGAAACGCAGTTGCGGTCAGAAGGCGAGGGCTGACGGAAAACTCGAGGGGATGTCGAACCATTTTAGACGTGTTAACTTACCGAGGCAAGCTGCTCCGAACTCTGACCCCCGCAGCTCCTCCCTGCAGCACAGATTTCACAGGTCACGGTCAGTCGTCTTGAACTGTTCATCTTTGCAGCTGTCAGATGTGAGGGTAGCACCAGGTATCCTCCTCACCCAGCACACCCCACCATCCCTCCCCCACAGCGCTCCCCAGCACACCGTATCCTACTCATTTAATCCAATATGATATCGTGACACGAGTTTGGCAGGTTGACACCTCCACCCGAGAGAGCAGAGACTCCGTGCTCTCATTTGGGGTGGACAACCGCCCCCCCCCCCCCCCCCCGACTACTCACACAGATTCTTTTATTTTGCTTCGGATCCTCTGTCCCTCAAGCGCACTCAGCGACTCTGTCTCCAGCAGAATGGCCCTTGTGTCTTTGACGTTATCTTTTCTTTTCTTATTCATTCCCTTCTTCTTCTTCTTCTGGACAGTTCTCCATTCTCTCCCCTCCTCTGAGCAGACAGACATGTTACAGTCCCCGATTGATTGAGTCGGGGTTGGTTTCCCTGTTTCAGGGTAAAAATGGTTCTGTTTGGGACAGGACTGGGTCACACCAGATCCCCTTCGCTGTCTCCAGCAAACGCTCCAGGAGAGGATTCCTCAGTCAGTTAACACATCCGCATCAACGATGGGACCTTCAACACTTGTTTTCTCTTCTCTCCGTGTCCTCGTGTGTATGTGTCTCACTCTGTACGTCTGTGTCTGTCCCTCCCTGTACTTCTGTCTGTGTATGTGTGTCTGTCTGTCTCTCTCTCTCTAGTATGTGTGTGTGTGTGTCTCTTACTCCCTGTATCTGTCTGTCACTCTGTGTGTGTGGGTGTGTGTGTGTGTGTGGGTGTGTGTCACTCTGTGGGTGTGTGTCACTCTGTGTGTGTGTGTGTGTCACTCTGTGTGTGTGGGTGTGTGTCACTCTGTGTGTGTGGGTGTGTGTCTGTCACTGTGTGTGTGTGTGTGGGTGTGTGTCACTGTGTGTGTGTCACTGTGTGTGGGTGTGTGTCACTGTGTGTGTCACTGTGTGTGTGTGTGTGTGTCACTGTGTGTGTGTGTGTGGGTGTCACTGTGTGTGTGTGTGTGGGTGTCACTGTGTGTGTGTGTGTATGTGTCACTGTGGGTGTGTGTGTGTGTCACTGTGTGTGTGTGTGTGGGTGTCACTGTGTGTGTGTGTGTATGTGTCACTGTGGGTGTGTGTGTGGGTGTGTGTCACTGTGTGTGGGTGTGTCACTGTGTGTGTGTGTGTGTGTGTCACTGTGTGTGTCTGTCACTGTGTGTGTGTGTGTCACTGTGTGTGTGTGTGTGTGTGTCACTGTGTGTGTGTGTGTGTGTGTGTTGGTCACTGTGGGTGTGTGTGTGTCACTGTGTGTGTGTGTGTGTGTGTGTCACTGTGTGTGTGTGTGTGTGTCACTGTGTGTGTGTGTGTCACTGTGTGTGTGTGTGTGTGTGTCACGGTGTGTGTGTGGGTGTGTGTCCCTCTCCTGCCCCAGTGGTTGCCGCTGTGGTGCAGCACTCCCCGCGGTTCGGCTGCCGAGCGCTCAACTCTCGCCGACGGTTCCGGATCTCCGCTGTTGACCGCACAGTCCGGGGCCGTCGGTGCCGCGCGGTCGTCGGGGTCACCGCCGCGTCCGGTCCAGGCGGCTGGTGGTCAGGTCAGGAACACCGGATGGACGGCGGGTGCAGAGTCCCCCCAACGGCCGCCGCTCGCGGGCGGAACCTTTGTGCGGGGACCCGCCGCTCCCCCCGGGGACCCGGACCCGGACCGGGACCGGACCGGAACCCCCAACATGGCCGCCGCGGCTCATCGCTGTGTCTCCGGTTAACGTCGTCGTCGGAGAGATTCGACTTCGGTCGCGTTGAGAGAACAGCGCCGAGAGAACCGCACCGCGTCAGCGCTGAGTGAGTGACTGAGGGGGAGAGAGAGGGAGAGGGAGAGGGAGAGAGAGAAGAAAGAAACAGAGAGGAAGAGATAGAGAGAGAGAGAGAGAGAGGAAGAAATAGAGAGGAAGAGAGAGAGGAAGAGAGAGAGGAAGAGAGAGAGGAAGAAAGAAATAGAGAGAAAGAGAGGAAGAAAGAAATAGAGAGGAAGAGAGAGAGAGAGAAAGAGAGGAAGAAAGAAATAGAGAGAAAGAGAGAGAGAGAGAGGAAGAGAGGAAGAAAGAAATAGAGAGGAAGAGATAGAGAGAGAGAGAGAGAGAGGAAGAAATAGAGAGGAAGAGAGAGAGAGAGAAAGAGAGGAAGAAAGAAATAGAGAGAAAGAGAGAGAGAGGAAGAAAGAAATAGAGAGAAAGAGAGGAAGAAAGAAATAGAGAGAAAGAGAGAGAAAGAAAGAGAGGAAGAAAGAAATAGAGACAAAGAGAGAGAAAGAGAGGAAGAAAGAAATAGAGAGAAAGAGAGAGAGAGAAAGAGAGGAAGAAAGAAATAGAGAGGAAGAGAGAGAGAGAGAAAGAAAGAGAGAGAGGAAGAGAGAGAGAGAAAGAGAGGAAGAAAGAAATAGAGAGGAAGAGAGAGAGAGAGAAAGAGAGGAAGAAAGAAATAGAGAGAAAGAGAGAGAGAGAGAGGAAGAGAGGAAGAAAGAAATAGAGAGGAAGAGATAGAGAGAGAGAGAGAGAGAGGAAGAAATAGAGAGGAAGAGAGAGAGAGAGAAAGAGAGGAAGAAAGAAATAGAGAGAAAGAGAGAGAGAGGAAGAAAGAAATAGAGAGAAAGAGAGGAAGAAAGAAATAGAGAGAAAGAGAGAGAAAGAAAGAGAGGAAGAAAGAAATAGAGACAAAGAGAGAGAAAGAGAGGAAGAAAGAAATAGAGAGAAAGAGAGAGAGAGAAAGAGAGGAAGAAAGAAATAGAGAGGAAGAGAGAGAGAGAGAAAGAAAGAGAGAGAGGAAGAGAGAGAGAGAAAGAGAGGAAGAAAGAAATAGAGAGGAAGAGAGAGAGAGAGAGAGAGAGAAAGGAAGAAAGAAAGTGCAGGTGAGAGTCAGTGGCGAAGCTGCCGCTGGAATTCCTGAGGTTGGAGCTGAGCCCCAGACACACCCCCAGTGACTATAATATCACCATCACCACCACCACCACCACCATCATCATCATCATCATCAGGGGATCCTCGAGCTTCGCCCGCCGGCCGGACCTGGGAGGGCAGACCAGTCACTGGGGGCAGGGAATCCTCCCGCTCTCGCTAACCTCGCGAGCCAAAGCCCTACCGGGGGTGGGCAGGGTGGTCCCAGCTGGACACGAGGCGGGAGAGAGTGGGGCGTCGCTCCCTCCGGGCAGAGGGTGCGCGTCCCATCGCAGGAATGTCACGTCATCTGTGGTTGTTGTTGTTGTCGTCGTCGTTGTCGTCGTCGTCCTCGGGGTCTCACTGCTGCTGTTGGTGCGTTCCGGTCCTGCAGGTCAGGATGTCGATGTCGCATCTGTACGGGAAGGATCAGGATGATGACGATGGCGTGGAGATGGAGCGGTTTGAGATCTCAGACTGGGACTTGGAGAACGAGTTTAACCCGGACCGAATGCGCTACCGGCAGACCAAGGAGGACGCCATCTACGGGATATGGGCTGAGAACGACTCGGACGACGAGAGGCCGAGCTTTGGCGGCAAACGGTACCTGAGCCTGTCACGTTGTGTATCCATTAGCCACTGTTTAACATCTGCGTTTATCAGTCGTGAGATTTTTAGACTATAAAGACCTTGAGGTTTAGTGAATCGTGTGGTTTCTCGTCTTGTGCGTTCATGTTTGCCGGTGCTTTCAATAATAATAATCCTTGCATTTGGTGTAGCGCCTTATCCCGTCTTCGAGACGTCTCAAATTGCTTCACAGAATATACTGTAAGGTGAATTGACTGAATATTTATGGGCGAAACGCGGCAGTGGTGGATTGAGTGACCACATTTCTTCTAAGCTCTTGTGTCATTCTCTTGTTGGGAGGTGTTGTTTTGTCCGTCCTTCTTTCAAAGTCGCCATATGCAGTGGGCAGGGACCCAAGAGATATCGTGTACTAATTAAGTTACTGGTTTTGTTTATTGACTGTACACTTGCAGTGAACCCAGGAACGCACTCACACAGATTAACACCATATATGATCTGCGCTGCTGTCATATCTTGCAACTGTTTCTCAACGCTATAGTGTGATGCCGGTGCACTAACCTGGCGATATCTTTGTCGTCCCTCTGTAGCTCCAAAGATTATACTGTCCCAGTGAGCTTCATCAGTGCCGGCCTTCGTAAACCCGCGGCTGAGGAGAAGGAGGAAGAAGGGGACTCAGAAGACTCTGAGGAAGAGAAAGTCAAACGTGAGGAGTTTCCAAAAGACTTTGCAGCAAGGAGACTGAAAACTGTGAGTATTCCATTACCTCCCATCACAGTAAAGAAGAGCCTTATTGTTTCGTTCCCGGACACGACTGGGGTGGAGGAACGCTCACCATCTGGTGGATGAACCCGAGGTCTGATTGTCAAAGTTTCCACAAGTTGGTGAAATGGGGGGGAGAAAAAGAGAGTCTTTACTGAGTGTCTGTTGAAGCTGAACCATTTAAAAGGGAATCGGATTTGGCCGGCAGAAGAAGTCCAAGTGACTGTTGTACTCTAATTATTATTATTATTATTATCGTTATTCCTGGTTGCACAATCATGGCTCTTTGCTATCTAATCTGTTTCCATGGTGTGACATTCTGCACTGCTCCTGATTGCTGTATTTTCACAGGGCGGCTTTTTCAAATCCAGTTCAAAAGGATTCACAGGAGGACACAGGACCGGCCAAGAAATTGGGACCTGGGAGAAACATACAAGAGGGATTGGGCAGAAACTGCTGCAGAAGATGGGTTATGTCCCTGGGAGAGGCCTGGGAAAAAATGCACAAGGTATGAGTTGGCCGACTATCACAATATGTAATGGTAACGAGACAGCACCAACTTCACCATATTTCAGCATAAATTAGCTAATTTACTCAGAGATTGCAAAACATAACCGGTGTGGGAGAGAAGGGCAAAGTTTGATGTCCCAGGGATAGGTAGCCAATGGAGCTGAGCAAAAATGGGGGTGATGGGCTTGTGGTGGTGCAGTACAGGAGAGGTTGCAGAGTTCTGGATGGTCTGAAGCTTGTGTAGGGAGGGACGAGGGACTCCAGCAAGCAGAGCGTTGGAATAATTGAGCCTGGAGGGATGAAAGCATGAAAGAGGGTCTCCTCAGCTGGTGGGGGTGGGGGAAGATGTAGTATTGGAGGTGGGTAATGTGCAGGTGGAGGAAAGGTGAACTAGTGAGAGCCAGGGCATAACATTTGAAGGATAGTTGTGCACTGAACAAGATTCAGTACTTGCTCTGTGATCACCAATGCAGATGGAGATGAACACTCCTGGGTCTCTGGTACCATTGATTGTTTTATTATACAGGTATCGTGGCCCCGATCGAGGCAAAGATGAGGAAGGGGAAAGGAGCAATCGGTGCTTACGGATCTGAGCGAACTGAGCAGTCGCTCAAGGACTTCCCCGTTGTGGACTCAGACGAAGAAGCCGATGAGGTTTGAGCAAGAAAGTTTAGGGTTGTTTCTGTACCTACGTAGGGTCAGATACAGGACAGCTAATCCCCTTCCCCAAGTCACTTTATGTGTCAGATTCTGAAGGAGTGCGTTGGTGCGGTGGGGAAGCAAAGTGGTGGGAATATATGGGGTCTGTTGAGGTGGGGGGAAGTCTGGTGGGGAGTTGATTTCACAGCCACAACACATTGGCCTTCTTATAAAGGAGAATGCGAATAAGAGGCTGGGTCGGGAGAGAAACAATTGGTATTTTGCAGACATGCAATTGCTGAGCTGCTGGCAACAGTGCAAGGAGCATTGCATAGCCTGTAATTGCAAGGAGCTGCTGGTACACAAAGCCTGACTGAATGTGTGTGATTCAGGACTATCAAAAGGAGATGAGCCAGTGGCGCAAGGATCCCACAGGCGGGAAGAAGAAACCCAAGTACTCGTACAAGACGGTGGAGGAGCTGAAGGCAAAGGGAGCCACTGGCATCGGCAGGAAAATGACAGTCCCACAGATGGAGCTCTCACAGGTCAAGGTACGCAGTGAATTAACAATAGGCTGCTTCACGTTAATATTTCCAAATGTTTATTGAACCTCGTGGCTGAGCTGAGAAACTAAAAGAAGTTGTTTTTTTAAAAAATAAAAGACATATGACCGACCGATCCAGGAGAACATCGAGCACAGTCTAGAAAATAGGGGGTAGCAATCCCGGGAATCCCATGTGTTAATGGTGCTCCCCAAATCCCATGATTCTCTTTAAATTTCGGGAGCTGCCCCTTGGGCGAACCTGCCTTTAAACCTCCTGGACGTTCCCTCCCTTCCCCGCACCCTTCCCCCTCCCCCCTTCAGTGGGACACTCTCTCTCAGATCTTCCAGTCTGTGATGATAGTGCAGAGAATGACCACAGATATCTTGGATAAGGTAAGATTTAGCATGTCGGGATCCCAGGATTTGGAGCATTATAATTCCAATATCCCAGGATTCAGAAAGAGCACCGGGATCACAACCCTGTTGTGTCTCTGACCACAATCTTTCAAACATCCTTGGATATAAATGTTGTGCTGGAGTGTTGCCAATGTAACCTCTGTTCCTAAAGGAATAATCTGGGTAACTATGGGGAATAATCCAGGTAACTACTTCCACTAGTTGGTTAGCTAGTAACTAGAGTGCATATATTTCACATCATTATCAAAAGCACAAAGAGAGAGGGCAAAAGATGTATTTTGTTGGAGGATTATTGGGACGTGGGATGCTCTACCAAAACCTGTGATTTTGGTAAAAGCGGATTCCATAATTGCTTTCAAAAGTGATTTTTAAAACGACTGAGAAGGAAGAATATAAAAGGGTAAGAAGAACAGTAGGAGACTAAACAGTTAGCAATTACTGAGAACTGGCACAGGGACGGTGGGCTGGATTCTTCTCTGTGCTGAACAATTGTATGATTCTATCCTTTTTTCCTGTGATGTTTGCAAATAGCTGAAACATGGGTGAGTAGTCATTTTCAACCTCCCCAAATGCAGTGTATGCTGCACATACTAACCAGTGTAGTTATTATCTGTGAGATTGGCACACTCTCAGCAGCCACTGTTCAATGTCTGGTGTTGTGATAGTGGTCACAAGACCCTTCAAATTATAAGTTTTTCTTTACTGTGCTAGACTCGTTGCAGTGTGTTGCTTGCTGCAGCATTCTGGTCTCTTTACGGTTTCTAGACCTCCAGCATCTCTGTTTCACTGCCCATACAGTGCTCCCCACTTCACAGCCACTGTTTGATTCCTGGCAGGGCGAAATGTTGGGCATGTTTCCTTACGGAACCCGGTTGTTAGTCGATTGGTGGATCGCTTTTCCGGGGATAATAATTCCTTTTTTTTAAAAAAAAAGGTAATTAATTAGTTGCTTCAATCCGCGTCTTGATTGTGGGACGCTGCTGTGCTCAATTGGCTGCTGCGTTTGGCCCACAAAATATACATTCAATTCACTTGACAGTATATTCCGTGAAGGGCTTTGAGACGTCTTGAAGACATGATAAGGCGCTACATCAAATGCAAGTATTATTATTACATGCGTGTTGCATTAAGCCAGGGGTTTGGAGCAGAGATGTGACCTTGGCTACTATCTCCAGGAACATTCAAATAATTAAATGCTTACCTACTAAAATGGCCTGTTTGGTGGTTAGCTATTAAACACATCTGCCAATATAGTCACATTGCTAACTGTGGGTATTAGTTCAGTAAAACTAATTGCTGGAGCTAGTTGGTGATATTGTAATTCCTAGTGAACTCAGAGGCTGATTCTTCCTGTAGGTTATAGACATGACTGGAAAGGAGCAGCGGGTCTATTACAGTTACAAGCAGATGAACCAGAAGCACGATATCCCAGATGACACACAGCCGCTGCCCAAAGACGCCAAGACCGAGGGCTTCACCCTCCCAGAGCTGGAGCACAACCTGCAGCTGCTGATAGACATGACTGAGCAGGAGATCATCCAGAACGACCGGCAGCTACAGTACGAGAGAGACATGGTGGTCAACCTGTCCCACGAGAGTGAGAAACTGTCCGAGGTGCTCACGCACGAGGAGAAGACCATAGAGAAGCTCAGCCACGTGCTGAAGATCGTAGAGGACTGCGAGGCCCGACTGCAGAGCGACTGCAAGGACCCCCTGACCCTAGAAGAGTGTGCGAGGATCTTTGAGATGCTGCAGGACAAGTACTACGAGGAGTACAAAGTGTTCGACTTGGCAGAGCTGTCCATCGCCATCGTGTTCCCATTGCTCCGAGAGTACTTCAAGGACTGGAATCCTTTACAGGTAAAGACTTAAAAACAACCAGCTCGGGTGCGGATTCCTGACCATCCAGCACCTTGGAGAACATCCTCCTGATGCGAAAGGTGCTGTGGAAATGTAATTTGTTGTTGTTGTTGTATGGAAACCTTACTGCCCACGTGTCGCCTCTTAAAGTGGTGGTAGTCGAGCATTAGTTCATTTCAACGAGAAGGAAAAAAGTAACTTGAAATAAGTGAATCGACTAATGGGAAAGGGAGCTAGGACCTGCCCTCAGACCATGTAAATCACTCTCTAGGTTAGGTTACGTGCCATTAGGAAGAGTTGGTTGCTCCCGGATGCTACCCCTCGTGAAGGGCGCTTTCTAAATGCAAGTTGTAGTTGCACGAAGATGATGCATGTCTGAATTGTGATTCAGGGCATTCTTAGTGACCAGAGCCGTAAAAAAAACACACATGGCTCCCCCCACAGGTGACCTAGTGTAGGATGCTCACAATGAGCTAGAAATTAATAGTTGTAGCAGGAAGTCATACTGTTTACTGCCTCCTACGAGGAAGCGGGTGAACATCATGTCAACCTGCAGGAACTGCTCAGGCCGACACACAAATGGTTTGTATCGGAGCCGAGTTCTCATGGTCTGCAAAACGGCGCAGGATGAAGTTACCCAGTTTTGTTTGTTTTTAACTTTTTCAGGATAATGCGTATGGCACGGAGCTCATAAATAAGTGGAGACGTCTCCTGGAACGGGATCAGCTACCACATGGAGGACAGGACCTGCTGTCTTTAGACCCCTACCACAGGTAAGACCAGGAGACTGAGTAATCCAGCCTTTCAAACTGACAGCTGGAACTGCGAGTGCATATCGCAAAGGACGGACGTCGGTTGAGTACAGGTTTGGGTTTGGCTGTGATTTCCTTTACAGTCACAGCCGTCTGATTGGCCACTCAGTGAAGGCTCCAGAGCCCTGCTGGTGCCTGGACAGGTTAGTACCGCTAATAATAACAACAACAATTACATTTGTATAGCGCCTTTCATGTCGGGAGGACATCCCAAGAGATGTCCTCAAAAAGACACAAGAGAAAAATATTTTAACTAATTAAAAGGACTGAAAGAAATAGATGAAATACGTTGGGGAAGAATCCAGAGAGCATATTGTATCTGAGCTCTTTGGAAAGAAGCAGACACCAGGGGATGAATGGCCTTTCCTCATTGCCTACTTGAAGCTGAATTCCTTTTCTCTCTCTCCCGGCAACTCCACAGGTTGATGTGGGAGATGTGGATGCCGTATGTTCGGAATGTCGTGTCTCAGTGGCAGCCCCGGAATTGTGCTCCGATGGTGGATTTCCTGGAGAGTTGGCTGCCCGTGATTCCTCTCTGGATCCTGGATAACATTCTGGATCAGCTGATCTTTCCCAAACTACAGCACGAGGTAGGCAAACTCGCTGTTCTTAACTTGTAGAACGTCACGCCACAGAAACGAGACACTTAGCCCATCAAGTCTCCCCACAAAGGCCTCAGACTTTTATTTTACACAAAAAAAATTCCCCCACAAAATATAGTCAATTAACTTTACAGTTTATTCTGTGAAACCCTTTGACAAGGCACTATATCAAATGCAAGGATTATTATTATTATTATTACACTGCCAGGTTGAGAGCTGGAACCCACTGACGGATACAGTCCCAATCCACGCCTGGATTCATCCCTGGCTGCCGCTCATGCAGATACGCCTGGAGCCTTTGTACTCGCCCATCCGCAACAAGCTCGCCAACGCCCTGCAGAAGTGGCATCCCAGCGACTCCTCCGCTAAACTCATCCTCCTGCCGTGGAAGGAGGTGTTCACCCCAGGCTCATGGGAAGCCTTCATGCTGAAGAACATCGTCCCAAAGTTAGGTAAGAATTCCCAGCCACATGGCGCCTTGACTCGGGCAGCAGCACCTCTCTCTCTGTGCGTTAAACTTTTACCGTCATAAATAATCAAAGTACGACATTAGCTGTGAACAGCCTGGCCCCCACAAAATATACAGTCAATTCACTTCACGGTATTATTCTGTGAAGATCTTTGAGACGTCTCGAAGACGTGATAAGGCGCTGTAACAAATGCAAGGATTATTATTATTATTTTCTGTCCATCTCTACTGGTTAAACAGCAAAAGTGCTGTTGACCCATTTGGCGCTGCTGGACTGAAAATCAGTGAGCCTGAGCAGGGAAGGGAGCAAAGTGATAGACAGTTGCACTGATAGAAACATCAGGGGTGCTGCAGTGTATGTCAAGCTCAATTACTCCTTCACGCCAGTACCTCTGCTGTCAGCACTATCTGAGAGCGACAGTACAAGTCAGAGGCTAAAGTTAATCACAATTACTTACGGCAAGAGTGGAGCACTCGATAGCTGCACTAATTGGGACCGACCGGCTCCATGTGGCTGCAGTAACACTGAGCTGACAGTCAGCAAACCCTGCGTTCAATTCAGAACCCGCGCAATTCGTGATAAATAATTTTCAAGTGGCATTTTTGAGTGAATCATATTCCCATTGAAATCGGTCAGTGTTCATTCGCTCTCCCTTCCTTCCCACGCGTACGTCACAAAGCATCTTCAGAATCCAGAGCCCTAGTTATTAACAAGTTATTCTCGAGGTTGCTGTGTTCACATCAGTGACTTCCCGTTGAATGAGAATTCCCGATTCGATTCGCTGCAGTCTGATTCCCATTTTTCCACGGCTGCCTCTACCAAAACACAGTCACTGCACTTTCACGTACATCCTGCAAGGCGCTTTGGGGTTACCCCCTGATGTGAAAGGCACCCGGAAGGTGAAGTGAAAGGATTTTTTTTCTTCTTCTTGACACTCTCTCTTTCCTCACCCCACCCCAAGGGATGTGTCTGACCGAGTTTGTGATCAACCCTCACCAGCAACATATGGATACCTTCCACTGGGTGCTGGACTGGGAGGACATGATCACTCCGTCAAGCCTCATCGGAATCCTCGAGAAACACTTCTTCGCAAAATGGTTGCAGGTAAGCAGCAGAAGCACTTCTTCTGTGCGTGCTCTGCCTCTCTGAGTGCGGTGCGTGAGTGTGAGGTGCCTGTCTCTGTCAAGTGTGAGAAGGTGAGAGGTGCGTCCCTGTGCTACGGTATAAATCCTTGCATCTTGTAAGTGTGTTAGTCATGATCTCTTCTTTGTTGTGTGTGTGTGTGTTGTGTGTATGTGTGTAAGATGCATGTCCCTGCGGTGCAGGGTAGGTGTATTTAGATACTTTGTGGTGTCTTTGTGTATTAGATGTATTTCTCTGTTAGTTGATTCTGTGATCTTTAATTACATCATTTGAGGAGATTGAGAGGCGTATGATTGAGGCCTTTAAGATTCCAAAGGGGCACGGCAAGGTAAATAGCGGTAAACTGCTTGTAGCGCCTTGGGACGTCCTCCTGACGTGAAAGGCACTTTATAAATGGAATCTTGTTGTTGTTGTTGTTGTTTAGCAGTTGAGGAATTGGTCAGAATGGGATTGAGTGCCCAATTTTTTTTTAGCAGCGGAATGGTGAGAAATTTATGTCCTCTTGAACTCTGGTATTGGTTGGGTTTTAGACTTTGTTACAAATGGCTATTGTGGCTAATCAATAGATTCATTCAAAACAGAACTGGATAACAATTGAGCAGTGGGCAATCTGGGTAAACGGGTGGAAAATGGGATGAATACTAAAAAGTGGCACTGATATCATGGATCAAATGTCTGAAAGTGTCTGTTTCTAGAATTAAGGGCACCTTTAACTTACACACGATTAACACCTGGGATAGTACACCAAATAGGCTCGTTCTCGCTGGGTCTGTGAGGTGTGATTTACTTTATACAGCCAGAAACACGACACTTTCATCCCTGTGGATTGATCTTTGTTACCAGGTGCTGTGCTCATGGCTCAGTAACAGCCCCAACTATGAGGAGATTACTAAGTGGTACCTGGGCTGGAAATCCATGTTCTCTGACCAGGTGTTGGCACATCCGACCATCAAGGAGAAGTTCAATGAGGCCCTGGATATCATGAACAGGGCAGTCACCTCCACAGTGGGTAAGTGTGTCAGAGCTTAATGGTCTCCCGGATAATTTACTGACTGGGTTACTTCTTGGCTTCGTACTACTCCGCCCACTCCTAGTTGATGTGTTTTCAGCCCCGAGTCTCTGGAACTCTTTGCCTCAATCTTTCCACCTTGCCCTTCCTTGTCTGCCTCCATACCGCACCTGAAGATCTTCCTCTTCGACCCTCGTGCCTACGGTCACTTTCCTCTCTCTCACTCTCTCTCACTCTCTCTCTGGCTCGGCGGCAAACTCCACCACCCTGAAACGCGCTGAAGCTCTCCCCCCCCCCCCCCCCCCCATGTGAAGAGTGCCATGTGAATGCTGTCGGGCAGCCAATGGATAATCAGCTTCTGGCCAATTACAGCGTAAGTCGTGGCTTGCTTGCTTTGTGTGATACATTTCATGGTGGGGCTTTTTCTCGACCAGGCGGATACATGCAGCCAGGGGCTCGGGAGAACATCGCTTACCTCACTCACACTGAGCGCCGCCGTGACTTCCAGTACGAGGCGATGCAGGAGCGTCGGGAGGCAGAGAGCATGGCCCACCGTGGCATCGGGGTCACCTCCACCTCCATCCCCATGAACTTCAAGGATCTGATCCAGGCCAAAGCTGAGGAGCACAACATTGTCTTCATGCCCCTCATGGGCAAACGGCACGAGGGCAAACAGCTCTACACCTTTGGTAGAATCATCATCTATATAGACCGGGGGGTCGTGTTTGTCCAGGGGGAGAAAACCTGGGTTCCCACCTCCCTGCAGAGCCTGATCGACATGGCTAAATAATGGGACGTTCTGTGTTCTCATAACAGAGGCTCTGCCACTCCCTCCCTCCCCGTTTCATTCTGTTGACTGCGTTAGGTGGTGAGCTCTGCGCTATGGCATCCGTTCTGCCCCAGGTTCATCTCAATGAAGAACCTTAAGTCATCGTCATCGCTGAGAAGATGGATGACCTTTGTTTTATATCTGTAAAATCGAGCCCAGTGTAAAAAGGGCCGCTCACTGCCCCATCCCGGTCGCTGGACTATGAACTGGAGTAATTGCTGCAATCTATGGTTTTTGAGCAATTGAGCGAGTTTTATCTAAAACTTCAAACTCCCAATTGTGATATTCTGTCAAACGTCAGTGTTACATAACTGAGACAGGACACCACATTCACTCTCCCAAGGAGAAAAATTCCATCTGGGTCTATGTCCTTATATGTTGTGTGTTTCGCCCACAAAATATACAGTGAATTCACTTTCAGTACATTCTGTGAAGCGCTTTGAGACGTCTCGAAGACGTGATAAGGGGCTATATCAAATGCAATGATTATTATTATAGAACTATAGCAAACCGACTTCAAAGTTAAAGCAATTTCTCAAATTCTGGAGTCTTTCTAAAATGCGACATAAATGAAGCACTCCCGGGGTCTGGTTCATCAAACCACTGAACCACAAAGCCCAAACAACAACAAAATAATTACATTTGTAAAGCGCCTTTCACGTCAGGAGGACGTTCCAAGGCGCTGGACAGACGGTTACGGATCCGAGCTGGGGGTCAGGCTGGGGGAGGGCGGAGGGCAAGGGGGGAATAGTCCCAGGTACAAGTTCTGGTCTGTCCTGAATTATTTCATTTCGGGGAAAGTCATGTTATTGATGAAGTACAATTTTTCTGCTCCCTGGGCTCAGGAGAGTCAAATCTAGCTCCTGATCCTCACTGTACTAAAGTGTACATATCGTATTGGGTGAGGATAAGATTGGGTCAGGTTGATTTTCATCTTTATTTTCTGCCCTCCGTGGGCAAACTGTGCTGGTGGTGAGATTAATTCATCTAATATTTCTTGTGAGTACAGCGAGTAGTGATTTGTTCCTGTACAACACATACAGCTCCTGTACGTACAAAGTAAATATCTGTGACAATGGCTTATTAAAGTGACCAAAGTTTTGACATTCTGAAGATGTTCATTCAGTGTTATTCAACTTTGGCCCAACTTGCGACAATCCTTCGGCCGGGTTGGGTGGGGGGGGAGAGGTAAGCGGGGTCTCCTCGGAGCTGAACTGGTTCTTCTAAGGTGACGTGTTTGGCAACCGTATGCCAGAATGGACTCAACCCTCTGTGGTGGTCTAGTTCCTGAACCAGGTGGGTCCTCCATACTCCAGGACGTGGAAGGGCAGACCTGTCACTGTGGGCAAGGATTCTCTGTCAGACCTATTTCTATGCCATATCATTCTATATAACATATAAGGTATCTCCTGTCCTGATAAGCTGTGCACAATTGGCTGCCACTTTTTGCCCATATAATAAAAACATACTCAATTCACTTTACAGTATATTCTGTGAAGCGCTTTGAGACGCCTTGAAGATGTGATGAGGAACTATATCAAATGCAAGAATTATTATTTCCCTCTGTTTTGGATTAAATTTGAATAAAATTGCTGATTGGCTCTATGGCTGCTTGTAGGACATCGCTCTGCAGCATTTGCCATCAAAACACACTCTCCAGTGGCCAGTGACTGCTACGAAGGGCTTTGAGACTTTTGCGGAGACGTGATGAGGTGCCGCGTAAAATGCAATGATTATTAAACGAAATTGCTGCTTTTATATTTTTCCTTCACAAGTGTGGGGAGGAAAAAAAAAATCCCCAGTTATCTGCAAACTCAGTATAATAAGAATAATTCATATTCTATATAAGGTCCATATTCTCCTGTGTGTGCGCACAATTTTCCTAACCAGGTATTGAAGTTAATTTCCCCAATGGCTGCTAATTCTTGCGTTGATTAATCTTAGGCGGTTAAGCACCAGATTTGACATCAGTAGATTGTGGGTCAGAGTCCTGGGGGGGGGGGGGGGGGGTTTGCTCGAGGTTTAATGAAATGAGCAGAATGCAGGGTCTAAAATATCCTGCGGGGGCAGAGAGAGGAAGTGTGGTGGGGTGGGGGTCAAACTAAAACGAGACCGGTCCCCGGGGGCTGATGGGTTCGGTTATTCTCCGTCAGGGGGTTCGGGGTCGGAGGCCTTCGGGTTTGAGGGTTTAGAGGGGTCAGGGTTGGTGTTGGAGGGTTGGGGGTTGCGGCCTGAGGTTTTTTTTGCGGGGGGGGGGGGGGGGGCTGAGGTTTGGGGGAGGGGGGGCTGAGGTTTGAGGGTTGATGTTTGAGAGGGTTGGGGCTAGGGTCTGAGGGGTTGGGGGGGGCTGGGGTTTGAGGGTTGGGGTTTGAGGGTTTGGGGGGGTTGGGGTTTGAGGGTTTGGGGAGGTGGGGCTGGGGTTTGAGGGTTGGGGAGGTGGGGGCTGGGGTTTGAGGGTTGGGGAGGTGGGGGCTGGGTTGAGGGTTTGGGAGGTGGGGCTGGGGTTTGAGGGTTGGGGAGGTGGGGCTGGGGTTTGAGGGTTTGGGGAGGTGGGGGCTGGGGTTTGAGGGTTTGGGGGGTGGGGTTTGAGGGTTTGGGGGGGTGGAGGCTGGGGTTTGAGGGTTTGGGAGGTGGGGTTTGGGGGTTGATGTTTGAGAGGGTTGGGGCTAGGGTCTGAGGGGTTGGGGGGGGGGCTGGGTTTGAGGGTTTGGGGGGTGGGGTTTGAGGGTTTGGGGGGTGGGGTTTGAGGGTTTGGGGGGTGGGGGCTGGGGTTTGGGGGGGTGGGGTTTGAGGGTTTGGGGGGGTGGGGTTTGGGGGTTGGGGGGGGCTGGGGTTTGGGGGTTGATGTTTGAGGGTTGGGGCTAGGGTCTGAGGGTTTGGGGGGCTGGGGTTTGAGGGTTTGGGGGCTGGGGTTTGGGGGGTGGGGGTTGGGGTTCAGTGGAGCCCTCCCCCTTTGAACGGGGTGTGTGAGCCTCCCGCAGTGTGAATGAGTGAGTGAGTGAGTGAGTGGAGGGGAGAGAGCGAGAGAGAGAGAGAGAGAGAGGGGGGGAGTCAGAGCCACAGCGGAGGGCGGACGGGACGGGATTGTGGTGCCAAAGGCAAAGTGCGAGGAGGAGCAACAACAACAACAACAACAACAATGGCGAACTGTTAACTTGAGTGGGACAGGAGCCGCCAGAGAGAGAGAGAGGGGGAGGGGGGAGAGAGAGAGAGAGAGAGGAGAGAGTGAGAGTGAGAGTGAGAGAGAGAGTGAGAGAGAGGGAGAGAGAGAGTGGGGGTGAGGAGGAGTGAAGCCCTTTGTCCCTCTCGATGGCCGCAGTGAGATGGGTTGGAGCGCAGCGCTGAGGCGCGGAGTGAGGATGGAGCTGAGACCTGAGCCCCGGGAGAAGGTGAGGCCATTCCCAGCCCCTGATCCCATTGTTTCCCTGGGGAGTGGGGGGGGGGAGTGGGGGGGGAACCCCGGTCTACCCCCCACCCACCCACCCACTGCCCCCCCCCCCCCACTTCCCTCTCTCTCTCTCCCCCACACACTCTCTCCCACTCTCTCTCTCTCCCCCACACACTCTTTCCCTCTCTCTCTCTCCCCCACACACTCTTTCCCACTCTCTCTCTCTCTCCCCCACACACTCTTTCCCACTCTCTCTCTCTCTCTCTCTTCCCTCCCCCTTTTTGTCTCCCCCTCCCTTCCCCTTTCCCCCCCCAACTCTCTCTCTCTCTCCCCCCTCTCCCCCTCCCCCCCCAAAAAAAAGAGTGCAGGATCCCTGTAGCAAACACACACACTCACACACTCTCTCTCTCTCTCTCTCTCTGTGGCTTTGGGGTGGGGCAGAACTGTCAAACAAAACTTTTTATTTTTCTTGGGGTCCCACTTTTATATAACTTTTTTCTCTCTCTCTCTCTCTCTCTCTCTTGTTTTTTTTTCCTGGAAGATGTGTGTGTTGGGGGGAGAGAAGGGGGGAAACACACACACACACACACACACACACAGCCTGAAGTCCCATCTTGAGTCCTCGCTGTTGTTTGTGGGGTTGTGGGGGGTTTTGGGGGGTAATGTTTTGCACAAAATAAATAAATCACTGTCCCCTCGTTTTGCTTTTCTTTTCTTTTCTTTGAGTGCGACTTGTTCTTTCTCTCTCTCTCTCTCTCTCTCTCTCCTGCATTAAGTTAATTCCCCCCCAAAGCTTTTCCCTTTTCTTTCCCTCCCTCCTCTTCCCCCCCTTTTTTTCTGCCACTGTTGAGAGAATTTGAGAGAGTTTTTCAGGGCCTGTGCTGTGCTGGAGACCCTCTCTCCCCCCCACACCCCCCTCCTCCCTCTGTCATTCCCCTTCTCCCTCTCTCTCAGTCTCTCTCTCTCTCCCCCTCTCTTATCAGTTTCTCCCCCACTCCTCTCTCAGTCTCCCCCCCTCAGTCTTTCCCCACTCTCCCCCCTCCCTCTCAGTCTCTCTCCCCCACTCTCTCAGTCTCCCCCCCTCTCAGTCTTCCCCCACTCTCCCCCCTCCCTCTGTCTCTCTCTCCCCCACTCCTCTCTCAGTCTCCCCCCCCTCAGTCTTCCCCCACTCTCCCCCCTCCCTCTGTCTCTCTCTCCCCACTCTCTCAGTCTCCCCCCTCTCAGTCTTCCCCCACTCTCCCCCCTTCCTCTCAGTCTCTCTCTCCCCCACTCTCTCAGTCTCCCCCCCTCTCAGTCTTCCCCCACTCTCCCCCCTCCCTCTCAGTCTCTCTCCCCCACTCTCTCAGTCTCTCTCCCCCCCACCTCTCCCTCTCAGTCTCTCTCTCCCCCACTCTCTCAGTCTCTCTCCCCCCCACCTCTCCCTCTCAGTCTCTCTCCCCCCCACCTCTCCCTCCAGTCTCTCTCTCCCCCCCTCTCTCAGTCTCTCTCTCCCCCACTCACTCAGTCTCTCTCCCCCCCCCCCCCCCCCCCCCCCCCCCCCCCCCCCCACACACATCTACCTGAGAAACAACCCCTGGGAATAGTGAGTGAGTGACCTGCAAACAGGTCTCACTTTTCTAACGGTTTCGGAGCCTCTTGTTTCCGCCTCTTCTTCATAGCTTCACCGACACAAGATTTTCTGCAATTGTAGCAGACGTGGTAACGATCGTAGCATTAACGTATCCCATTAACGTAGACAATAATAACGCTAATAACCCTTGTATTTGATATCGTGCCTTACTATTATATATTATTCTACAGTGATTTTCACCCACAAAATACACAGTCACTGCACTTTACAGTATATTCCGTGAAGCACTTTGAGACGTCTTGAAGACGTGATAAAGCGCTGTATCGAATGCAAGGATTATTATTATTTTAATTATTAGTAAAATTATTACTGTTACATCTTCGAAATGTCTCAAAGCGCTTCACAGAATGGACTTTCACCGCCTCGGGACGTCCTCCCGACGTGAAAGGCGCTCTATAAATGTATTTTGTTGTTGTTGTTGTTGTTGTAAAGCGTAGTCACTGTGTATTTTGTGGAAGAATTTGTATTTTGTGTATTTTTTTAAAAAGACATTTACTTTTAGATGCCCCCCCTTCCCACTCCTGATAAATAAAGTCCAGTTTAACCTGCCCCAACCCCCTTGGGTTTGCTCGTAAGTGGGATCCTCTGCCCTGATCGTGCCCACAAGCGAGTGTGTCACGTACACTCACTGTGTGTCAGTGATGATAAATCAGGTCGAAGCACTCGGCAATCCCTGCTTGTTAACTGGTGTACTGTTGGTGTTTGGGACAGTTGTTGCTGGTTACGGCGGTGGGGGTGGGGGGGGGGTGGGGGGGGGTGGTGGTGTGTCAGATGATAATGGTTTTGTTGGCTAAAGAGGCATTAAGGGGTCTGGAGTATGAGTGTGCGTCACCAGCCTTGTCACCAGCTGCCCCTCACTTCCAACTTGGTTTCTGATGTTGAGTTAAGAATAACAGAGGCACATTGGATGGTGTAAATCCAGCTTGTGTGTGTGTGTCGGGAGGGAGGGGGCTGGTATGTGTTTGTGTTTGTGTTTTTTGGGGACTTGTACCTCCCGAGTAGCTCTGCGGAGGGGATTCTGGACGAGATGGACTCCTCGTGAGTCCAGGTAGATTGAACATCAGATAACGTACCTCTGAGAGAAGGAGAAAAATGGCAATAAAAGTCTGATGCAATCCCCATAAGATCAAGAGGAATCCTGATCTGCAGTTGATTAGAGGTGACGTTGCTTGGTATATTGTGCAGAAAGGCCTCTGTTCGCTGTCAGACCCTTTGTTGTGTTTTCCAAACACACGCAACAGACTGAATTCACATGGAAACAGACAAGGCATGCAAAGTCCTCGGCTACTCCAGGACTGGATCAGTTTTTATTTCTAAGCAAAAGTGGGATTTGTCGGATTCCCTCCACTTTTCACGTTGTGTGTTGGTGTGGGGGGTGGGGGGTGGGGGGTGGGGTGGGGGGGTGCTGAGAGCATTAATCCACCCATTGGCAACCTTATAACTTGTACTTATGACCTTTTGCACAAAACCCTGACCTTTTACATGTCTTTGACCCAGGCGGACACTTAACATGTTCCCCATTATGCTCGAGAACAGAATGACAGCTGCCAGAGAAATCTATAATTTGGCTCCCACCCTCCCCCCACCCAACTCCCCCCCACACACATACTCTTCCCTCTCTCACACACACACACACACACACACACACCCTCAGGTTCAGGGCAATAAGTCATTCCCCTGTGGACAGTCGTTCCCCGAATAATGAACCTATGGAGACTGGTTGAAGCAGAAAGTGTTGATTCTTTTAAACGCAGATTCGATAGTTTTCTTTTAGGAAATAACATTGTGGGATATTGCACAAGTAGTTACAATAATAATAATAATCCCTGCATTTGATATAGCGCTTTTCACGTCTTCTAGACTTCTCAAAGCGCTTCAAAGAATAGACCGTAAAGTGAATTGACAGTACATTTGAGGGCGAAATACGGCAGCCAATTGCGCACAGCACTGTCCCACAAACAGTCGTGGTTTGAAGTGACCAATTTATTATTGTTTTATTTTCTTGAGGGATTATTACCAGGCGTATGGAGTAAGGAAACTTGCCCAAGGTTTCACACTGCCGGGAATCAAAGCCAGGTCTCTCGCTTGCAAAGCGAGTGCTCTTACCACTGAGCTACGGGATTCTAGTTCGGGACATATGTGCAAGCCACCGCCCGGGAAGGTGGAAGGCGAACTTCATGGACCTTGGTCTTTTTTCCGTCTAGAATTTCTTGTGTTTTTATGTTCCCGAAGACAGTCAGGAAAGTGAACCCATGATGATTTTTCTCCCCTTTCCCTTAACCCAGCACTGCGGATGGCAGACCAGGATTGAACCATTTCCTCTAACTCCTTCTGACATCAGTTGTCCAGTCTTCAGCCACTATATCTACCCACTCTCCTCCTGCCTCCCCCCCTCCGAACCCTTCCCTGAATTACCTTCATCTTCTGATTTCTCTCCTTGCTTTTCAAACTCTGTTTGCCTTAATCATGCTGTCGTCACATCCTCTAACGCCCCACGCAGCCAATTGTGCACAGCAGTGTCCCACAAACAGCCATGAATTGAATTGACCAATTTGTTATTTTTTTTCGAAGGGATTATTACCCCTGGAAAAGCGATCCGCCGATCGTCTATTAATAATAATAATAATCCTTGCATTTGATATAGCGCTTTTCACGTCGGGAGGACGTCCCAAAGCGCTTCACAGAACACACCGTAAAGTGAATTGACTGTATATTTGTGGGCGAACGCGGCAGCCAATTGCGCACAGCAATGTCCCGCAATCAGTCGTGGATTGAAAATGACCAATTTATTATTGTTTTTTGGTTTTGTCTAACAACCGGGTTCCCATTTACCTCTGGGTGATATGAGTGAGGGTATGAGTGAGAGGTGAGTGGTGTGACAGAAGCTGGAATGAGTTCTGGAGTCTCCAATGCTCCCGGGTTGTCATAGCAGTGAATTGTCGGAGCGTGCTGGGGTCAGGCTACATTTTTATCTCACAAAATGTACAATCAATTCACTGTACAGTATAATCCTGTGAGGTGCTTTGAGACGTCTCGATGACGTGCTGTGGCGCACTATCAAATGCAAGGATTATTATACACAAATAAATAAACACATACATCACAAACACAGTCTCAAAACACGTTCGCGCGCACATATATACGTACAGAAATATATACAGCTTGTTTGACGTGGGTGCCCACCTCTCTCGCCAGCTGCCTCCCAGGAGAAAGGACTCGCAAGTTAATCCCCGAATGTCTTAAGTGAGGTTTAAACCTCAAGTCAGATTTGGCTCCTGGTGTCGAGAGCTTGTGTGACGGAGCTGCAGAATTCCACCGTCAGTTACTGTAGCAACCAATGTTCAGGCCTTTTAAAGCCCTCGCAGCGACACAGAGTCCCGCACGCTCTGCCTCCTGGCTCGCTATTTGCATGTCCCCAAATTCTGTCCCCCCACCCTCACCCGAACACCCGTCCCCCAAATATCTTCTCTGCAGAGAATGCTCTCGTCTGAGCAGCGTAGTTATTGCAGGGAGGGGGAGGCCATGGGAATGACGCGGTCCCAACATTTTAACAACGGCAACAATTTGCATTTATACAGCGCCCTTCGCACGGGGCAGTGCCCCCGGAGCGCTTAAAGGTCTCAATTTCAGGTCTCAAACAGAGAATCAGGGAGTTTGTTCTGGGTCCGAAAATGCTTTGGAGCGTGCTGCGTGCGTGCGTGTATGTGTATGTGTGCCGGACTGTGTGCCTGTGCTGTGTGTGTGTGTGTGTGTTGGACTGTGAGCTGTGTATGTGTTTGTGTGTGTTTGTTGTGCGTGTGCTGTGTCGCTGGGCTGTGTGTGTGTGTTCTGTGTGTGTGCTGTGCTGTGGGTGCGCTGTGTGTGTGTGCTGTGCTGTGGATGTGTGTTCCGTGTGCGCTGCGCTGCGTGTGCGCTGCGTGTGCGCGTGAGACGAGCGAAGGCTGACGTGCGCCTCCTCTCCTTTGCGGCTCGAGCCGTTGCTGAGCAGCTGCAACGGAAAGACGTCGGCTGCTTAAAGGGTGGAAGGTCGAGAGTTTTCTTCGTCGCCACTTGGTGCCCCCGCTCACTCCCCCCCACCCCCCTCCACCCCACCCACCCCTTCACCTCCCCGGATGGCCGTCACTATGGTGAAGATGTTTGGTTGCTATGGTGTTGGCACAGCGTTCTCGGTGCTGCTGTGGGTCTCTTGAGACACGTCGCTGTGAAGGAGAAACATTTATCAGTGCCACATCCTGACCTGCTCCCGGCTCCGAGAGCGACTGACTGACAGGTCGATGTCCGACGGCACACGGGTGGGGGGTGGGGGATGGGGGGGGGGGGCTTCAGGGGAGGGCAAGGCGGCAGGTTAAAGGGCCAGGGGACAAAGGGAAGACTTTTGTGCGAGGGTGAGGACTACGAAGATCTGGTACCTGAACTGGTGTTAGACTGAGTGTGATGGTGAGGCGCGCGTGTGTGTGTGCGTGTGCGAGTGTGTGTGTGCGAGTGTGTGTGTGCGCGTGTGTGTGTGTGCGCGTGTGTGTGCGCATGCGTGCGGAGGTGCTGAGGTCCGGCTGTTCCCGTTGCAGAGTTCAGTCTTTGAGGAGAGTCTGATGCGCAGGATCTCTGGCAGCAGCGGGGCCCACACGCTCAGCAAAGCGGCGTTCATCGAGAAGGTGCGCGAGAGCAATGCGGCCTGCCAGCGCGGAGACTTCGCCGCCGGCGTCCAGCTCTACACCGAAGCCATCACAGCCGACCCTCAGAACTGCATCCTGTACAGCAACAGGTCCGCTGTGCTGGTCAGGCTGCAGGACTATCAAGCAGCCCTGGAGGACGCTCTGACAGCGTGTCACTTGAACCCCAAGTGGGCCAAGGTAGGAGCCAGCAACACCTTATTGTACCCAGTCTCAGGGCTTCTCTTCCGGGCTTCCTGCTCCACAGGGTGTTTGGTATATCGCGATGAAATGTATTGCGTTTCTGCTAGAAAGTAATATCTCGGGGGCACAGTATGTAGTTTGGGTCACGACACGTCAAGCAAGCGACGGCCTGGATGGTGGAAGGCGAACGAGACGGAGCTTGGTCTTCCTTCGCCCGGCAAACTATTCCGTTCTTGTGCGGCGGGTTAAACATTTCGGAAAGAAATCTGATGGCCAAACACTGGCTGTGGCTGGGCGAGGGGCACGAGCAAACCAAGGCTTTGCCTTGGGTTCGCAGGGATTAACGTCATTCCTGTCTCGTCTCCTCACTCCACAAGAGGTTTGTAAAGGATGCTTGTTCAGCCGTTGATCCCATCTCTATGGGGTGGGGATGGGGGGGGGAAAGCTATGTATTGGTCTCACCAATGGGTCATGTCTGTGGTTCTGGTAGAGTTGGTGCCCTCCAGGGATAGCGCTCAGTATTGCACCAGTGTTTGCAATCGGAACCTCTTGTGCTTCAATGCACTCCCCAAACCTCTCCCTCTCTAAAACAGGGTCCACCTGTCACGCGCTTTATTCGACGTACTCACTCACCAGTATGTTATTGGGGTGGCCTCGGTGTGTCTGTCCCGGGTATTTCCGATAGAATTGCGGTGCTTGCGTTTGCAGATGATTTTGTGCTGTTGGGCAGACTGACGCACCTGGGGACATTGTGTGTGTGTGTGTGTGTGTGTGTGGCGCTCATTGAACTACTCAGTGAGACACAGCGGTGGGTGCTCACGAGGGTGATATTATTATGGCTCTGCGTAGCTCGAGAAGATCTTGAAAGATATCAATTGGGAGATACAAGGGGCATCTATTGATGTCCGCCTGGACAGGCAGGCGGGACTGTGTTTTAATGTCTCATCCGAAGCACGGCATTTTTGACAACGCAACACACACCCCAGTGCTGTATTGGAATGTCAGCTTAGACCGGGGACAGCCAAACTACGGCCACACGAGTCTAGGTAAGTCCGCGTTTTATCGGGTTCTGCGTTTATGGCATAAATCAATTATTTTGTTGGCCGACCAAAAAGACTGGACACCACTGGCTTAGACAATATGATTTCGAGTCTCGACGTGGGGACTTGAACCCACAGCTTTCAGTCTCCGAGGCGAGAACGCTACCGTTGGATCAAGCTGACGATATCAAAATGTGTACATCTGTCTGTCCACGCGTAATAATGTGCCGTAAAGTGGGAATATCGCTAGGATTCTGTGGATGTGGCGCGCCTCTGCTGGCACGTTTGAGAGTTACTGTGTCCGCAGGTCAGTTGAACTCAAAGCAGCAAGGCTTGATCGGGCTTGTGATGAATAACTAAATGAAGGAAACAACGGAGCGGGGCAGGCGACTGCATTGTCGGCGATGCCAATCATTGGTCAAGCGTTAAGCTGAGGTCCCGTCTGCCTGTTCAGATTGATGTTAGAAATCAACGTGGAGAAGAGAAGGGACTTTTTCTCGCCCCCCCTCCCCTCCCCTTGTCCTGGTCAACAGTCCTCCAGATACATTGATGCTGCTTTTGCCCCAAATCAGTCACAACGCTAAATAATTACTAAGCATTCCAGTTCGATGAGGTGCTGTCGAACAAGGCACGTTCTTTCTTAGCCACTGTAAAAGAGGAAAATAAAGGGTATCTGATCAGCGATCGGTGATAAACGAGGCCAGATACAAACCAAGATGGAATATTCTCTTGGGATAATAATGTACCTGCCTGATCATACGTAGTGGGTACCTGCCTGATCCTGGTGTGCTGGATGGAGTGTGCAGCGATTCGTGTGCGCCAGCAGAGGGAACCTGACGCACACTTACTTGCAGGACTGCTGGCACTTTGTCAGTGAGTTTGTGCTGATTAAATGGAAACTAAAATGTGATTCAATCGAGCGCTCTCCCGACCATGTGTAACGCAGGGCATGTGCAGCACAGCTCCAGCTCACTGACCGTGTGTTACAGTGCGTGCATTGCAGGGGCTAACGCCAGCTCTCACGCAGGCCATGGCGTGCAGAACACAGCACGGCTCGCGCCGACGACAACAGCTTGCTTTTATATCGCGCCCCTCGTGCTGGGTAGAGCCCCAGAGCGCTACCAGCCATGTTTACGATAGGGCGTTAGTCCACTTCCATCAACCGTGGCTGATTCTATTGAGCGAGAGAACGAGAGAGACTGAAGGAGGGGCCTCAAGAGACAGAATATGAGATAACATGATGTAGACAGAGACTTAAATTAGAGAAAGGGAACGCGTAGAGGGCAGGAGACAGAGTCAGCTGTGTGGGGAGAGAGGGAGCTGAGTGGATAGAGCGACTGGGAGCTGTGTGGGGAGAGAGCACTTTCCTAAGAATTGCCATGGTTCCCTCCGCTAAACACACAGCGAGCGGCTGATATTGTGTTACTGATTTCTATTCTTTGACAATGTACTGTAATTTTCATCTCATGTCTCTGGTGGGGCCTTTTTCAGGCTCTTGAAATTCCCAAACTTCCTGCCGGCAGCTGAGGTTCAGACGGGAGACTTCCTGATGGAAGAATACAGAATGGAAGGAGCTCTCTGCCCCCGGGAACCTGCTTCCTGTTGAGGGACAGGACGCACCTGTGCGAGCCACGATTCCCACACTGGCTCTCCCTGCTCTCAAACCTCCGTGATTGGCCCTGATACACATCCAGCACTAACAAGTACCTGCCCTCCATTAGCAAATCTACATGTGCGTGTCAGAGGGAGACCAGCTACACAGCAAATAACTCTCCTCTCTGTGTACAAACAAGCGCTCCGCACGGGGTGAGGGTTACTCACTGTGTAACGGTGTGTCTCTTAACACACGCTCTGCTCCAGCCTCTGATGTAGGACAATTCCTCCCCCGAGCCCAGTGCCAGCCAACTGTCCATCCGACCGTCCATTCCTGTCAGGAGGTGGGAGGCTGTAATGTGTGAGATGAGCCAGCTGAATGTCGACAAGACGGAGGTCCTCCTTGCTTTGGTTCCCATCAGCGCCTCCTCACCTCAGGCGCTGACAGCATCACAATTCATGGATGCTGTACGAGCCAGTACAGAACCTTGGCACCTTGTTCGACCCTCAATTGTCCTTGTCCTTTTAGCCCCATATCCGTGCCACGACCTGTGCTGGCTCCAACCCCCCCCCCCCCCCCCCCACAACCACCTCCGCAACATCGCCTGCCTCCGCCACTGCCTTTCCCCTCAGGCCGCTGTGACCCTCATCCATGCTTTAATCACATCTAGCATGACTATGCCTAACATCCTGCTTCCCTCCATAAACTGCAGATTATTCAGAACTCTGCAGCTCGGATCCTCTCCGTGAGCCGATCACCCCATCCTCGCCCGGTTCCACTGGTTCCTCACCCCCCCAGGGGGTCGAGTTTAAGATCCTCGTCCTCACTTTTAAAGCCCTCTATGGTCTTGCACCTCCCTTTACTTCTACGACCTGCTAAAACCTTACCAAACTGCCCGCTCCCTCCACTCGTGGGGCACTGGCCTGCTCCATGTTCCCCTGCCCGGCCCTGCCCTGCCCTCCCCACCAACGGCGGGCGGACCTTCAGCCTTTCTGCCCTCCACACTCTGGAGCCCCTTTGCCTCACTCTCTCCCCTGCCTCCTTCAAAGCTCCGTCTCAAGACCTTTTTGACCGTGCCTTCAGCCACCTTCCACCCCGCTTGATTTGAGTGCGAACCCTTGACTGTTCAGCACGTTAAGGCGTCCTCCCGACGTGGAAGACGTCATGTAAATGCCATTTGTTGTTGTTATTGCGGTTCGAGGCCCTGCGTGTCCTTTTCGAGCTTCTGTCAGTTGCAGCCTTGAACCCAGAACACAAGATGGGTTGCTGGAGTCGTGAGTCTATAAATAGGTCTGTGTGTCTGTCCCGAGCTCAATCTCCTTCATGTGGTCTCAGCTACAATGAGAAACATGTGGCAGATGTAACTCATCAGTGATGGTTAAAAGGAATGTTCGAGCCCACCAGAAGGGATCAGAAGTTAACGTGACAACTGAGAACTCGCTCCACTGTACCAGCAAACCCCGTCCCTCCCGAATCTTCTTTCCAAAGTTTCCTGTGAAGCTGTGGCCCTGACGATCACACGCACCACTTCCTGCGAGTACTGGAGAGGAGGAGGCGAGCAAACAGGCGGTGAAATGAAGAGGTTACAGCTCGGCCAGACACACTGGGTACGTTTACCACACAAGGAGCATTCAGACTGCCTGCTAGTGGGGGAACGTGTCAGCGTCTTGGGACCTCCTCCTGATGTGAAAGGCGCTCTACAAATGTAATTTGTTGTTGGATTTGTTGTCCTGCCCTGCCCTGGGCGCCTTCATTATCTCCACTTTCTTCCCATGGGAGGAGAGGGAAAGGGGGGAAATCCACACAAGGAATGGCTGGGATCAGGAATTTAGGTGACTGAGGTAGAGAGAGATTTGTTAGCTCAGGGTATTAAGGGACGATTGGACTTGAGGTGCAGATTAGCCATGATCTTGGAGAATGGCGGGACAGGCTCGAGGGGAGAAGGTTGTCCATGTGAAGCCATGTTGGCTTGCAGTTGAGGCTTGCACCTTTGTATTAGCAAACAAGTGTATGTATGTGTGTGTGTGTGGGATGGGGGGCGGTGTCTAACCAGCTGGTGCTGTGGGTGTGTGGGAATTTGGGGGGGTCTTTGCAGTGAAGGGTGTGATATTTCAACTCTCTAAACTGTTCCCTTTCATCGCGTGTCCTGAACACACAGGATTCTCGCTGGTTTGCTCCTGGCCATTGGTTGGATGAGGGTCTCTGTACCTACAGCCCCTGTAGAGACTCGGCTCGCAGTGAGCGAGTGGAAGTGACACGACAGCCAGCGCCGGTGATTGATTACTGAACAAATTGTTTCTCCTCTGGCTCGAGCTCGATGAATCCTCTGACTGATGACAAACCACAGCTTGAATCAATGTGTTAGTACAGCCAATTAGCCAATGCGATCTGTCTGTGGAGCAGAGATGCATCTGTCACCGTGAAGCGCTCTGTGACGCTGCCTCGCGTGAAGGGCGCTATATAAATGCAAGTTGTTGTTGATTTCAAAGCTGACTGCTTATTCTGGACACTCCGCCCCGCCCCTCGGACACTCAGCCCCGCCCCTGACACTCAGTCCCGCCCCCTAGACACTCAGCCCTGGACACTTAGCCCCCGCCCCCGGACACTCAGCCCCCCCCCACCCCCCCCGGACACTCAGCCCCACCCCCCTGGACACTCAGCCCCACCTCCTGGACACTCAGCTCCGCCCCTTGAGATAGAGCCCCACCCCTTGAGACACAGCCCCACATCTCTCTGGCTCCCCCTGCTCCCGGGGTAACTCGCTCCTCGGTAACTTTCCTTTCGCCGCGGACTCTCCCACTCTCTGGCTGGACTGACATTGTCCTGGCACACAGCGCCTACCGACCCGCTCAGCTACGTGTGACGTTCAACTCATGGAACGAGCAGCCAGGGTAGGGAAGCGGGGCAAGAAAAAAAAAACCCACAATGAACTCTTGCCTCATCGCTGATAGAATTTCTGTTGGGCGGAGGGGCCGGTGGGGTGGGGGGGGAACCTTCGCATTAGCCTTTGCCAACTTGACTGCAAAAAAAAAANGATGGACGTAAAGGCACCACGGTGAGATCCAGCCCTGGCTGCTTGTAAGCGCCAAACCACTTCATTCTGCTCGTCCAGACGTTTTTGATTATAGCATTCCGTTTTAATCTTTCAATGCCTCACTCGTGCCTGAAGTTGAAACGGGAAAACTTTGCAGAGTACGTAATGTTCCCTGTTTCCCATAGAAGTGGCTCAAAGCCCAAACCCCTTTTTTTTTTCGGGAAAAAAAAACTGGAAGTGATGTTGCAATGTCTTGCTCTGTGTAGACTCCTTGTTTCGCTTGAACAGATCCAGATACCAGAACATAACCCCCAGAGCTTTAATCTTCTGTGTGGAAGACTTTCTGGAAGGAACATCTCCCTCTCATGTTACACGCGCACACAGCTCTTTGGGGAGAACTTAAATAGGAATGATAAATTCCTCCCAAAAATTACAGCCACGTGGATCCATTTAAAATCACCTCTTCCTTTTACTAAATTGTTTCCCACCCCCCCCCACCCCCTCTTTTCGTAACAGTAATGTTAATGGCAAATTTGGTTGACTTGCTGCAGTCTTTCTCTCGTAACCTTTTGTTTTGGTCTGTGACGCTCGCGGGAACCCGTCACCAGCAGAGAGCAAAATCTTACCTCTGATTTTGCTTGTTACAATAGCATTTGTTAGCGGCATTATCCTGGATTTCTGCACTTCTATTTGCGCTGACTGTCGCTGGTTCCCTTCTACTCGGCCTTGCTCCTGAGCTGCATGTGAATCGAGAAGGTCTTTTAACACCTGTGGGCTGCAGTCAGCCTCCGAAATATCGCTAACTGTCTCCTCGTGTTTAGTCGGAGTTTAATGGGACTCCGTAGATCTGTTCTGGTCTCTTGAACAGTGTCTCTTAAGGGCGGATGCAAGATATAACCAAAGCGCCAGGTAGGTGTGTCTGATTTAAGGAGCATTCCTGCCATTCTGTCTGTCTGTCTGTCTGTCTGTCTGTCAGGTCCCCTCACGACTACATCATGTGCTTCAGGTGTCCTCTACAGACTGGAGCAGGCATCGCTCCTCACCATTACTAGCTGGACTTTGTTTCTGGATTTAAAACTGCTTCACAAATAAATATCTCCTATCCCCCACCCCAACCCCCACCCAATGCTGCCATTGTTACTCTGAGGCACAGTCCAGGTAGAATTGTTACCTTACTTGTATCTTTAATATCGATGGGCTCTCCAGGGATTTGCTCGAACGACAGATGCCTTCAAGGTACACGCCCTGAAACCAAAGCTTCAATAACCCCCGTAGGTAACCTATGGAATGGTGTCACCGTGAGCTGACGTGCCTCCTTCAAGGCGGGTCTCAAAACCCTTCTCCTTGACCCAGCTTTCAGCCGCCCTCCTACCCTCCCAGCCCTCCACCCTCCCCGATCCCAACCCCCAGCTCGGGTCCAAACCCCTGACATCCAGCGCCTTGGAACAGCCCCCCGACGTGAAAAGCGCTGTACAAGTGTAATTTTGTGTTGTATTGTGTTGCTGTGGAGAAATTTACTGTCTTCTTCAGGTGACGGATGGCTCTGTGATGAACTGCAATGTCTGCTTTTAACAAAGATCGAGAGACTAATCCTTCCAGGACGCGTGTTGGGGATGGCAGTCTGTTAGGTCTGGACTCACTGAAGTCAGCGCATTGCCCTGGCTGTGAGCTCTGGGATTCTCAAGCGACATCGCGTTAAAAGAAAGATACCTTGTCACAGAGGGGAGTTGTCCTGCGAGGAGGAGGAGAAAATCCAGCTACTGGCAAGTCTTGTTTTCTGCAGTTCTGGTTGGTTTGATGAGTTTAGGGACGAGAGCCTGAGAGGAGGTGAACGTGAGTCAGTGCAGCCCTCTCAATACCGCTCCTTCCATTAGTTTTTTACATTTATAATAATTAATAATATAACAATAAGTTGCTCGCGTTTGAGTTGCTCAAAGTGCTCGTAAGCATAGGGTTGCCTGTCTGTCAGCAGCAGCCT